GATAACGTTTGTTAGACCATAACGTGGCGAACGTGAACGACTATTGATATCGCCACATGACTGGTATCGCTCCAATTCTTTTACTACATAAGTTATGTGGCTTCGCAAACTTAAGCTCTTGTGGTATACATCGTGCTAATAATTGCAGACATTCATTGTTAAAATTGCATCACAATCAAAAAAATAAGAATAATGATATCATTCATCGTGAAACTTAAAGCTCTATATTTTTTAAATTAATGCGCATGATATATAGCAATTTACGTTTTCAGAAATATAATAGATAATTCTATTATATATTTAAAACTAATTGTTTAGACAGTTTTACTGGAAAATTATAACTTATTTGTAAATATTTATGTGATTACACGGCCTATATTACATCTTACTATGTCTCGTGATTAATTTTTATGAGCTAAAGTTAAAAAAAATGTGTAAGAGCTTTTCATCATTCGGTTGTTCTAAAACAAATTAATTAACAACACGTTTTTAATCTGGAATACTATAAATTTTTATGATCGTATTAATATTAAAAAGTTAAAAAAATGCTTTCGATTTTTTTTACATATTTTTACATAGATGTTTTATATAAAATAAATTAAAATCATTTTATTTTAATTTTTTAATATTAATATTTTATAATTTTTTAATATTAATATTTTATAATTAATTAATATGTTATAATGTAAAAAATAATATTTCTTTAATTGTAAAAAATTATAATATTTCTCTATTAAATATACTATTAAATACCCTATAAATATTCGATAAATTGTCCTATCGAAGAAGTAAAAATTATAAATTTCTACCAGATGTTCCTTTCATTTGAAATAATTATCTCAGGAGAATTAAAGTATCAACATGTCGAAATTAATTGGAACCGCAAGAGGATTACAATTTACCGGGGGCCTAATTTCGAGACTTGAAACTACTCGGCCGTAATTAGCGATAAACGTGCGCCACGAATGCGGGCCATCGTGGTCCCACAAAACCGGGGGGGGAGTCCCCCCTCGGAATCCGGCGACGCGGCGCGCGATTTCGCGATAGAGGCGCGTTCTCTCGCAAATACGAGCGACTCCCCACTATGAGAAGCCATAGGTCGTACACATCGTCGTCGCACAGGTGGACGAGGACGAACGGCGCACGATGTGCGTGTCGTCTTTGGATTCAGTCGCGAGCGAGCGGTACGAGAGCGCGCGAGTGAGATTTCGCGCGATTTACGCGCGTGATTAAGAGCCGACGATAAAATATTAGTCGTGGCGACGAAAGAAAGAAGTATACGCGGATAAGTACGGTGGGTGACGAAGGCATCGCGCGAAAAACGAAGTGACAGAAGAAGTATTAGGTGTCAGCAAACGTAACAGCTGATCTTTGACTTCCGGGAACGATTATGATCGTTCGACTTTGCACACGATGAATCGGTATAACTATCAAAGACGGTCTGATTAAAAATGTATGAATGCGTGTTCGATAGAAAATGGGTGAATTGGCAAAAATTAAGAGATATTTGTTATGCAAAATTGAATTTCTTATTCAAAAACATAACATTTTTTTATTATTATTATATTTTTTCGTAAAGAAAGAGAGAGAGAGAGAGAGAGAGAGAGAGAGAGAGAGAGAGAGAGAGAGAGAGAGAGAGAGAGAGAGAGCGAAAAAAAAAGAGAATTTTTATGTTTCAAATGAGACACATATTACATAAAATTATAATTATATAAATTTTAATGAATTTTTTTAAATAATAGTGTTGTCATATATTTCGTCAAATATAAGAAATTTAAAATATCAAATAATGAGAAACTTCCTTAACTTTATTAATTTAAAAAGTCAGTTTAAAATTTAAAAAATTCAATATAATTAACAAATTTTTCAAATATATTAATCTCTCGCGTTAATTACAGAGAGATTAAACATACAACTTTGCAAATGAATCTTACTTTATTGTCATTACTTATTACTTCAAGATAGATGAAAAGACAAAAAAGAAAAACTTCGCAAACGATGTCTTATATTTATTACAATAAAATTAGCGATCGCATAATTATATTGATTATGTCGGTTTTGTCAATCTTGAAACATCAAGAAAAAAATAAAAGTGATCGCATCTTGATGATCTATAATCGAATGAAACGAAAAAAAATTATAGTTTACCTGAAAAATTTGTCTATTAATACATCAAGGTCGATACTAATGACGGAGGCGCGATAAGAAGCGATATCGATAATAGAAGTAGAAGAATGATGGATCTTCTCACGTTCGAGAAATTGATTCGAAGGCCTTGAAACGCGGTCTGGACATTCACCGGTACTTTTGATTCTACTTCATGCGCAATCAATCTAATAAATGATTTGGTTTTTATAAGCGCAAAAAAATTCTTGCGTTTGCAGGGCTCATAGTTTATACGATCAGATTGAAATAGCAACATACGATCTTAGAAATTAAAATCTTTTGTACAAAAGTTCTTGTAATCATATATTTTTTTTAATTAATCAAACTTTATTTTATATATCATATAAAAATATTTGCATTTTTGATTTAAAATATTAAAAATTTTGATTGGTTTTTTTGAAAAATAAAGTTAATTTTTCACTTTCTAATGTCATTTTTTAATGTCATTAATTTTTTGGAATTCTAAGAAATTTTTTGAAAAATTATAAATTTTGTTTGTTAAATATAAATCTCGAAAATTTATATAAAATAATACACTAATGTGATCAAATTAATTGTGTCATTTGACAGACTATTACTTTTTATTCCAATTATTATGCTTTTGAAATTATTATGCTTTTTTGTAATTTTCCAATTATTATCTGCAATTATTATGCTTTTTTGTAATTTTATCAATATTTTTAACTTATTTACAAATTTGCTGTCAAAAATACTGTGAAAAGAATTCTTGGAAATATTTTTTTTATTTGCCGAGAAAACTATATTTTTGTACATGTTATTTTTCTGGTTTGTATAATTAATCCAGTTTTATATCTTTTCAAATATTTTTGTACTGTTTTCATAAATATATAAATAATCTAATGAATGAGGTCGCATAAGTAGGCTTTCAGTAAATGTCGTCTAGCTAGGATAAATCGCAAAAGGATTCTCGCGTGTCAAGAAAAAAGACGATCTTATTTAGTTCTTGTTATCGTCACGCATAATAATCTTTTATCAACCGTGTGATACAACTGAACAAACTAGATGCTTTAAAACCGAAAAATGAGATTGTGACTTTCAATTAAATCTTTTCAGCGTGATGATGATGATATGAGAATAATTTTTATGCAAACTACGAAAATACTCTAGGAATAATTAATTTTGTAACTATAAACGTTTTACAATCGTGACATGTGTTTTTGAAAAATATGATGATGCTTTGCTCGCCGAATCGTAAAAACGTAAAGTTTATACACTTGTGTCGTACAATATATCTCTCACAATGCTTGTTATTTTCTCATTTAGAGTGCTTATCTGAAGAATGTTTTTAAAAATATTTCGTTGAAAATCAAAACAATTAGCATCCTGCTTTGTGAGTGTTTTTAATTCTCTTCAATTTAGATATAAAAAAATTTATATTAATTTATGTAATTAACGATAGTAGAAATACGATAATAGAAATTGGACACACAATATAAAAATGACGTAAAAGATAAATATTCATGTTCCTTAAATAATTATGACTGTTATCAAGTAGGATGCAGAACTCAGAATGGCTATTATAATAATTAATATTTATAATAAAAATGACGTAAACAATTTAATAATAACCTAAATAAACATTGAGATAATTTTATTAACATAAATAATATTAATATAAAAAGAAACCTAATATTAACAATTAAAAAAAATCTCACAATCTTACAATAATAAAAAAATCTCAAAACCGTTATAAATATTATTTATATACCGTTTTAATATTATTAAATAATATTCAATTTTTTAATTTTTTCGAAACTATATTAAATATTCAAATAGGTATTTTATAATTTAAAATGATTATTGCAAAAATTTTAATTTTTTGCATTAATATTAACAGGCGATTTTACGTAAGAGTACTTATGTAATATTTCCATGCATATCATATGTCTATTTGGCATGCAAACTAAAGTCATGCATACAAAAAGCATCGAAAAACGTGATATGCTCGACTATATCCGACATAAAAAGACTTTGACCGCATACAACACAAAGATAATAACGATAATAATAAAAGTAATAATAAAAAATACGGAAGTGCGTTCAAGAGCAATCTTAAAGTTTGAATATCAATACCATCACCTTTGCTCGGTTGCTTCACTATTTGCTATGTAAGCACTAGCTAAATGAGAATTTTAAAATCACTCGTAAAAAAAAGAAAAATAAGTCGACACTATCGCATAAATTTTGACATTCGTCAAAATTAATATACATATGTCAAAATCTTGACACTCCTAATTAACCCTTCGTACAGTAGTAAATTCAGTAGTACTTACTTCAATCAAAATATAATTCGTATGATTTATCGCCGAACTTATCATTTTATCGCATGATAACTCCTAACTCGGAATCGAAGCTTTCGATATGAAATTTTTTTTACAGCTTTATAATTAAGCCTATAACGCGAAATAATTTCATAACATAAGGCATTATTTTTTTCTTTTTTAAAATCGAAAGTAGCTATAAATTACACATTTTTGATTAGTTTCATTAGGAGGATAATAAATGTTAAATACACGGTTTCTTTAGAAAAAAAAATTTTCCTTATAAGTTTCTGAGAAAAGCATTATCACATTTTTCAAGAAATTGCTAAGAAATGTTACATATACTTTTAAATTAGGAGTAACTTTAAAATTTGTAAGGAATATGTATGATGCACCTCACAAAAGAGATTATCGTTATCAAAAGAAATAATAAAGTCTTATGCTTGACAAGTAAATGACAATTTCATTGATATGTAAATGTATGATGTATGCAAACGCTTGATTCATTGTTAGCTTATTACTCATTGCATCCCGAATTTTTGCGAAGAAATCCCGGTAGTCGAGAGAATATAAAAGAATAGGAGGAAATAGAGTACCTGCGATCGAGTCGGCGATAGAATGTGAAAGGTGCAGTTCATGCAACTGCAGTGGACCGAAGAGATGTTGACATTGATTGGTGGTCTGATCGTCGCCTATTTCGTCTATGTTCTAATCATAAAGAAAAATGGTAAATATCTATGCTACAGCAATAAACATTCATTTATTTTTCTCAAGTATGTTTGATTCAGCATACTTTTTAAATAAATTCTATATACATATTACCATATATTTTACTGTAACTTTATTATATGTCAAGCTATTATTTACACATACATAGATACATATATATGTATGTGTATTATTTTAATTAATGTTAAGAATGTAAGAAACTAAAGCCGAGAAAAGCAAATTTAAATTAACTTGATATGATAAATAGAAACTATTACGAACTTGTTGACCTATTTGCAGTAATCAATATTGTTCATAGATGTGCACATATTTGAACATATAATTTTTGTTATCATAAAATATCATTTTATCAATATTTGTTACAATAGACATGCGTCATCGGTATACTATAATCTTTTCACCGCAAAAAACTTCGACATGTTATCTTTTTATCTCTAAACAATCCATAGATAAATGAAGAACTGCAACGACGATCATCATTTCTTGAAATATAATAAGAAAACCTGATAATAACCTGACATATAATATTATATTATGTTATAATATTTAAAAAGCATACATTGTGATTTTATTAATTATACATTTAGCATTCTAATCTGGAATTATTTATAGTATAGGAAATATATTTTTTTTTCATGCAATAAACTTTCATAAATAAAACTCCGATTTTATTTGACATATCTTTAATTATTTTTCTATATTTATTTTTATTATATTTATATATCAATTTATATTTTTTCTAGTTATGATTAAATAGTAAAAAAATGCAGAAATATTTAATATAATTAATAATATTCCAAACACTTTCCTCCAGTTCTTTATGTTTTATATATTTTAATATTGTAATATATTATCTACAGCTTCTTAGATTCCCAACTGTTACTATTCCTATTAAAACACATCGACAAATTTTGTCTTCTCATTCATTGTACATGAACTTTCGCACGAAAATGCGTTCTCGAGGCGCACATCCTCGCGAGAGATATCGTCGTTTTCTCTCCGCGCAAAACTGGTCCAGTAACCTCTTCTCGAAATCGCTGAATGCAATAGACCATTTATAACGTTGCGATCGAAGAAAAACGAAAAAAAGGGAATGCCTTGGCGCAACGGTTTTACGTTTCCGTTATCCGGATTTTTGCACGAGAAGTTCGTTCATGCTATATTAAGGTATCATTATTGAATGAACGTTGAATTTCTCCGCGAGGAACGAGTTTCCCACATAAAACACACTCGTTATCGCGTCTCACATAGAGTTTATCCATCAAATTATTCGCATACAGATAGAAAAGTATCTATCTGTAAACCAAATTGTTATTTTATAGAGTATTGTTTCTCAATGTGATAATTGACGTTACATCGTGAGAAAGTCGATGTTGATTTCTTTAAATTTGATGCTCTCGTAAAATAAATTGTAAAGAAAACTAATGCACTTACATGATATTGCGTTTCCAGTTGAAATATTATATTTGTAGCATAAATAAAAGCACATAAAAAAATTAGTTTATATTAATAAAAAAAACTTACGCAAATCGATAAAAAAGTTTATGTAATAAAAAAATGTATGCAGACTCTGAATTATACAGGTTTTCAATTAATAATGTTATACATCAATACTTAATGATCTCGACGATTATTATTTCAAAATCATTTTTCTCTCTATAAGTTTGACATTAAGTCGCAGTCACGCAAACGATGACGTTGATCAAGCTTCTTGTTTTCCCCATTTAATTGATCACGCAAAAAAAACCTGAATATTTTACATTAATTATGCACGATGATTGTTCCTTTACATCACGCATGCTACCGAAACACACTTAATGTAGTCGAACGAGAAAAGTAAAAGATCGATCGAAGGCCAACGACGATGTCACTGGCTTCATCATCGTTCATGGATATCGAGAAAACGATTTTGCTAAAGCAATCTTTCTTGCACGCCGGTTAATAATGCATACGACTTATGTTTAAGACGTCGACGTCTCGCGCGCGAAATACCTGTAGTCGACCTTCACCTTCTACGGCGTGAGATCAAGGCTGGATGGTCTCGGAAAGAGATCCCTGAATCGATTATGCGTGCAGAAGAAGCGTCCGTGTGATCCACGACGTATCCAACGTCTGTGTGATTCATGATTGTATAAAGAGAAAGAGAGAGAGAAAGGATCGTCTCCCGCGGTCAGCACGCAACATGTTTATTTACAAATTGTTCGACGTATCCTTGGAGAGATTATTATTTCTCTATGCTATCTCCATATATACAGTATCACGAATAATATATTTAATACGCGTTTCTTTTTTCGATTCTTTGATTTATTCTGTTGAGAAAGGAATTTTTATCTCATGAAAATATTTATATTCGAGAATAATTAAAGCTCATCACACAGAATATTCCTGTAATGTCAGTGAAAATTTTCAAAATAATAGAAATCTGATATTTTTCATATATATTTTATATATATTTTTTATATAAAATATTATATAAAATAATCAAAATCAAATATTACATAAAACAATCAAAAATTATATAAAAAATATTATTTATAAAATTCCATAGAAATCCTTCGAAAATATTTTTTTAACGTTTATTCCAAATATTCGAGAAAGTAAACGGGACAACATTTTTTTCTGACGATTTTTTAATTTTCGGATAAAAATTGAAGACTCAAGATTTGTGAAAGTACGCTTTCCTCGTCGAAGATTAACAAGTTAAAGTACATAGCATCATCATTCTTTCAAACCAAGCAATAAGTATAAAGAATACCGATTATTTAGAAAATGAAGATGGGTGAAAACGGGGTAAAAATCGCCGCCGCAAACGTGACTGCCGATAAAAGAGCGTGCCTCGAGTTTCCCGCGGAAAGAGTTCAGGAGGTCGGCGAATTTCACCTGCGACGCGCGAGGTTTCCGCGCGTCAAGCGAGATGAAACGCAAAAGGAGGAGGCAGAAGAGAGAACGGAATGAATCGCAAGACCGGCGAGAGGAGTGGTCGCGTGAGTACGTATCGTCCTTGCCAGGTCGCGTCGGAGAAATTACGAGGGAGATGCGGTGGCATCTGTGATGGTACTTGCTGCCGGCCATATATCGCCGTTATCTCGCCATGGCTCGATCACCATGGCCGAAGAAAGTTGCGGCCGGTCGTGCCGATGCCGGCCAACTGCCCGACAGTCGCTCGGGAAACCGCGATCGATCCATGGGATCGCCAATCGACCGCGAATCAATAATAGTGAAGTCGAGGACGACTAATAATATTGTTAAAAGTTAGAAAAATATTACAATTTTCTCTTTCAAGAAGGACCTCTTGTCTTTTGATATAGACAGTTCTATTCTTTATATTAATAATGGATATTATGAGGATATGATTGGTTAAATATGGAAACAACATGAACTCGCTGTCGCCAAAATCTGCGGCTAATTCATTGAAATTGGTGCGTTTATGCTTCTGGTACAACTGGGAAGAATTTATGTAGGGGATTGTGTAGTTTGTATTATAATTAAAGATTTGTTGGATGTAATATTCGAATTTGGCGATAATCGAGAATCGGGATGTATTTTTTGGTCATATTCAACAATGGATTTCCTTCGATGTTTCAGATAAACCATCTATGGATTCGCCAGCTACGGCACACGCGGCTCTCAAAGAGATCGTCGAGCGAGCTGTCGAGGAAGCTCGGAAGTTACCGGGATTGGGTGCATCTGAGGATACCGAGCATCCTTCAGAAGGTCGTCCAATCGCTGATCATAGTTACGAGGACCTTCTCGCCACCGCGATACTCAATAAGGTTGTTTAAACATGTTAGAATATTTTTCACCGATAAATATCTTATTTGCACACGAATTGATTGTAAGAAAAATTAAAGTCCACATTATACAATTTTTTATATAATATTATATAATTTTTTAATTATTACATATTTCCTTAAATCAATTATTACGTAACATGAAAAGTGTCATTCTTTTTACATAAATTATTATCAATTGTATTTAAGATTGCACATTCTTTGAATAAATCATGGGAGAGATTATATTATCGCACGCATAAAAATTTTAATATTATTTATTATTAATTAAAATGTATGCTGCAACTTGCTAAATCGAATATGGTGAAACTTACGGTGCACATTTTAGGTCGTCGAAAAATTCCAAAGAGAACGAGTGGATGGCAACAGCAACGTACTACATGACACAGATTCACCTAAAGCAAAATATATCGCGAGTATGTAGAATTTACTTAACATGTTATCGCGCGTAAAATACGGGATGTCATATTTTTACGAAGATGATGTTCCTCTTTCAGCTGAGAGCGAGCATGGCCTTGAGGAAGACGCGGCGAGTTACATGTCCTATCGTCGCGAATGCAACGGTAATCATAGCGCGATCAGACGAAATGGAGATAATCGGGAACCGGTGTCTTTTATGGTACGTACATCGTGATCACATTTACATATTTTTAGCAAAACGCGAAACGTAAACGTAACGCTATCATGCATTAAAAGATGAATAAGAGATCTTTATGTCCGATTTAAATTTTTCTATAATATATTGATATAATATAATATATATAATCGATATAATCATTCAAAATAATGATTTCGCAGCCACAATAAATGATTTTTTAAATACGAAGAGAGACTTAACTGAGATAGATAAATGATTAACGAAAACTGTAACATATGTTTTACACTTAATCAGTTTAAATGTCAGTGATAGAATTTATATCTACACTAATAGTAAAATTTAAAATAAAAGTTTTTTTAGGATAATCATATTTATTATAAAGTTTGATTGTGATATTGAAAAATCGTTTCTCATAAAGATCGTTCTATCGGGAAATTCATATTTATTTAATCAATGTAATGATTAAAATTTGATAATGAAAGTTAAATTTCCAAAAGATATTGCTAGAATTCAATGCTATAAATTCACTACAGATTGCAAATGTTCTAGTAGATATAAAAAATAGCGATTTTCGTTGTAATATCTAGAATCCTACATCAGTAAAAGATTTTTCTGAATTATAAAATATCATTATATCATATACTGTATTTGAAAAAAAGAGCGAGAAACCAAAACTCGTTGCAGATGGAAGAACAAATAGAGGAGGTAACTACGATCACGTCGGATGATGATGAATTTCGGAGTAATGATGTCATGAAATTCGAATGCACCCGGCGTGTTCCATTTCCGGAACTCGGAATGGATATCGTTGACCGTTAGTATCTTAATTTTCACATTTCTTATCATATAAATGTGATGTTCTTAAAACATCACATTTATATGTGTAAAAATATATGAAATTATCAATGAAATAAACTGGCTATACATTTTTAAAAAAGATTATACATTTTATAAAATCGTAATTTTATATTTTAAGATTAATTTAGTAAAATTATAAATCCCTTGATTTATAATTGTTCGAAATTTATTATTTTGACTTTTAAACATCGTCAAATTTGCTCTTAATAATATTTTCTTTTATACAGAAAATAAGAATATCTTATAATGATAAATTTCCCTAAAACACAAAATATACTTTTATTACGAATTACAAAAGCGATTATTTATTTTTTATGGAAATAGCTCCGCGAGAATTGTCGCCATCGCCATCATCATCGTCAGATTCCTCAGATTTAGATCGCAATGAATACTCGGCCAGGACAAAACGTCATGTCGCTGATCGCGCGATGGATCTAATCTCGCCCGTCGAATCCTGGGAGGACAATTGGCTATTCCAAAAAAGGAGAACATCCCGAACACAGCCGGACGCGGTGGCTATGTTAGTACCAAGTTCTAACGCGTATTACAAGGCTCTGATCGGCGATAGAGATGCTGAGGACACGTCAGATTTATCCGAGTGTTCTTCCACGAAATCCGATGAAGAGATCGAGAAGGAACTGATGGAAGCTATTAACAATGTGGTCCCGAGGACTCCCAGAACGTCCGAATGCGATGCGAAAAATAATTCAGAAGTGCCAAATGTTGCCACGCAACTCGGACAAGATGAAATCGACATCTGTCAAGAAATAAAAATTGAAAAAAATTTGTCTGAAAAAATTTACGAGCGTTTCGATGAGAAAATTAGTGAAAAATTATTGAAATCTCCAGAAATCTCGGAAAAGAAAACAATCAAGCATGTAAATGATAAAGAGAAACTAAGTGAAAGTTCCTTTGCGTTGATAACGGCGGCAAAAGGAGAAGACGAAGCCAAAGAGAAACATAAGGATACAACCGATTGCGGCGAAAGGATAATCGCAATCACGGTGGAAAGTTCTGCGCGAAAGGACACGCAATCTGAAAAATCGAGCGAGAGGAACGATCAAATGGGAAACGTCGTCGACGAAGACGAAGACCAACGAGAAAGCGAGTACACCGAACACTACGACACGGCGATCCAGAGGCACCTAGACAGTCTGACAAAAGTCGAAGTTTGCTCTGGAGAGAACGAGATGATTAACGAAACGGCTAAAACAATGAACGACCAATTCAAAGAATTGGAAAACAATTCAGCTGAGGAACAAGAAAGGTAAAATTCTCAAAATATCTTTTTTTTTTTCTAAATATTAATTAATTGTAACTCATAATTTCATTCATTAATTATAATAACATTAGAAAAAAGAAATTTACAATTTATTTTTTATATATTTTATAAATTAAATTCATTTAAATATATTGTTAAAATAAAATTAATTCATTTGAATATATTTTTTAAATGTATTTTTTTATTCTTTTATATGCGTGCTCTTTTGTCAATCTTTCTTTTGATTTTTATTTCTGATTTTTCATATGCATCTAATTTCTAAGGATACGATAAATACGAATAAAATTTTTTGTTTCGAAATAAACATGCAATAAGCGACAATGATAGTTCGGTTCCCTATACAACTCGGTATTGCATGAATTTCATCCTGCTAGATAATTGTTCCTATCATTCCGTCGCGACACGTTGTACTTCTTTCGTAATTCTTTTCCTTTTATACAGCGAACGCTTACAAACCAAAGTCCAATTATCTTATGCAACAAGTGAAAATCACATCGATATAGCGGATGAAAACGATCGATTAAGCGCTCCACCACGTCCAGGTAACTTTAATTATTCATAATAAACTTATATATAATCAAAACCGCCGCAATTCTATACTTTTACATTAAATTTACAAGAAAATATATCTTTTCATATAATTTTATAACATATTTTATAATATATATTTTAAAATAAAATAAAATAATTCTTTTTCTAATATAAAATTATACAAAAGAAGTATAATTTATTACTTAAATTAAATATAAAATTTTTATAGCGAAAAATAATGCAGAAGTTATTATAACTGATATAATAATTAAAATAAATCATATATAAAATTTCGCTATAAAAAATCATGAATCAAAAAATAGATTATTTTAGTAAATAAGAAGTTTTAGTGAACTTATAAAATATTCTCGATGTTATGCGATAAAAATCACGAATATGAATACTCATGCATTATAACAAGTATAGCATAATAATGAAATATGTACAGGTACAATAGCAGAACGCGAGCACAAGAAATGGGAAAATGCGCCGCCGATCGAAAACAATCCCTATAGCGAGGAAAATATACGAAAACGATGCTTGGAGAGACAGTATTCGAGAAATTCGGATATTCCAGGGTAAGAATCATGTGAGAATGTATGCGAATATCGTAGCCGCAAAGCCTTCAACTTGATCTCTTGTTTTATTCAGAACTCATTATGACTTAACAAAATTGAACGAAGCAAATCTGGAGGCGCTCCTAGCACCCGATTGTCCGGACATTAAACGGTAATTTTCACCAATTACTTCAAAATAATAAAATATATAAAAAAATATATTTTCTCTTTTATATTTTTCTTTTATAAAAAGACTTTAAAAAGTGTCAAAATTCCAGTTTACTTGGAAAAGGAAAATTCAAACAAATGATTCCTTTGGATTCTTTTCCTATGGCTATAGTTTTCGATTAAAAATGTTTTTTCAAAGTATTAACTGAATTAAAAATAAACAAAAATTCAAACTTTATTTCATTACTACGCTATTTTATTGGTTTTTCTACAGATTCGGCAGGGATTATTATATCAACCAATCAAAAGTGGCCAGCGGAGAACGACAGGAGCAGGCCGCCAGATCGACGATGTCTTCGATGTCGAGCAGGCCGAGCAGCTCGCTGTCCCAGCGATCGAGTTGTACTGGCAACGAGCAACGCGAACAACAGGTGAGTCATCACGAGCTCGAGCAATTCGAGGCCGCCTCGCTGCGAGGTAGTCTTCCTAGACGACGCTGTCGCGATCCCCTTGCCAGTCCACATTTCGCGATCAACCCCCTCCTACATCTGAAGCTGGTGAGTGGTCGGTTACCTCACGATGACGATGACGACAACCAGCAAGTCCAGAATGTCATAGAGAACGAGCGAATAAACGACAGGGAAAACACGATTGAGGACACAACAGGAGATCAAAGATTCCGAAATTTCGGAGCTATAGTTCATAGAAAGGAGAATAACGTTCTGGCAGAGGACTTGGAGATCGATACACACTTTGGAAGAACATCAGCGAATTGGAATGAATTTTCGAACGATCACGATACAAATGTCGACCGCGAGGCTGAAGAACCGATAGTACCGCGATACGATGCTAATCGTGGGGGTTTGTCGGACCATCAAGACGATTACGATCCGGGCGATCATGATTCAGGAATCGGTTCGCGCGACTCGATGATCAGCGATCGGAATCGCTGGCGACGACTGTATCGGATGGCAGACAACAATCGTCACGATGGCGGTGAAGAGATATCGTCGATCGGTGGCAGGAGATTCTGGACTACTGGCGGATATAAATATCACACGTTCGGCGGCATTAGAATCCGGCCGAGGGAAGGGGAAGACCTCGACGATCTTGAAGATGAATCGACTTCGCCGCCGGTGGATGAGTTCGCGGATCATCCATTGGAGTTCGCAAAATTAAAATTTCAGACTTTTGGTGGGATTAAAAGAAGTCGAAGGATCCACGGCAGCAAAATTCCAAATTACAGGAGAATCCGATTGAGACCGATCCTGCCAGAGGTTGCCAGATCCGCTGAGCCCAACGCTGATCAAAGGCGCGATCGAGTCGTAATGGGAAAATCACGAAATTTTGAATTGTATTCTAACGTCGATCGTTTAGGAAGCTTGGATCGGTTAGCAAACTTAAATCGTTCCACAAGTTTCGAAGGATTCGCTAGCTGCGAGCATTCTACGAGCTCGACTTTCGAGGATAGCGATTGGCAGAACGAAGAGGATGACGTTGTGGATCATCGGGTTTCATTTGGACACGATATCGGCAGAAATCGAACGACAGCCTTCAAAACAAACTCCGCAAAATATAGAAATCCCATTCGTAAGAAAAACGTAAATTTGTCCTCTCTCTTATCCTTCGAAAACGAGGACAACGAATGGCAGGACGAACCATTCCATTCTATCTCTAATGAGAATATAATGAACAAATTCCCAAGTGATAGTTCAAAAAAGCGAAAAATTTGCGCGTTTAGCGATGACGACAATGTTGCGAGACGAGGAAGAGAAACGAGATCTCGAAGATATCGGGAAATCTTTGAGGAAGGCAATGACAGAAAGTTGGAGAAATTGATAAACAGGAACACCAAGAAGAGCCTGAACAGCTCGAGGAAACTTCGAGCGCAAGAAGAGAAAAGCGATGATAAGAGACACAGAAAGTTGGATGAGAGACGTTTGAGCGACATCACGATATGGTGATGATAAACGCTGATCATGAATAGAATCGACTTCGAATGTACAGGAAAAAAATGTACAAGATATATCACGTTAATAATTATAGCGTGATTTTCATGAAGAAACATCCTGTTATAAGAATAATTCCAGAAATATATATTTGCCATATTCTATCTTAAAATGCCAAGATACTTCTTACTATTAATTAATATGGAAAAATACTTCAAGATATAGTTGGTATACACGATGAAATGAAGAATTAATGAAGGATATTGCGAAATTTTTGACGACCCGAATATTAGATATTCAGAATACGAACTTCCGCGCGATAATTGCCGGATACGATCAAGATAATGATTGTAAAGATTTATTAGCAATACTTTAATATAATTGCTATACAATGTTATATAATTGATTTACTTTTCTCGGTGCAATAATGTGCCTGAGAAAATGTATTTATATTAGTGCCGTAATTATGTAGCCATATTTTTCAAGATAAAAGTGCCATGGCGCAATGCGCTAATAAATTATGAGTGCAATAATTATACAAAATTAAGAAATCATATTTATACGACGTTAAGTCGCAAGTGGTAAATAAATACGGGTGTACAAAAGTACGAGACATGTGTCATCATAAAGATTATCCTATTCCTTCACAAGTCTCTATAACATTATACTTTATTTTTGTTTTATAAATTACTCTTATAAAATATGAAATTAAATAATTTTTTGTATGTTAATTCCAAATAATATATTGACCTAATTTAAGATCAAAATTAATTAATAATTATATTGCAGATGGATATAAAATTATTTTACATATTCATAATATTACAATCTAAAAAATGATACAATAGAAAAACCAATAGGTTCTTAAATTTAAATATTTACGAAATATGAGATTTAAATATAAATATTTAAAACTGTTAAAATCGTAGAATCGACTTGTAAAAAATACACAAGATATATCATGTTAATAATTAGCGTGATTTTCATGAAGAAATATTATTTATACAGCTTATACATATTATCTTTTGTTTGTGTATGTACATATTCTTTGTGTCCCATATTAATATACGATAATCTTAATTAATTTACTAATTTAAATAATGAGATAAAAATTAATATTTCAATCGCATGAAACTTACAGGTGACGGTTTCTGTTTAATTTTAATGTTAACATTTACAAATTTATATTGCAGAAGTTTTTTTTTGCAAGATTTTATTTTGAATCTTATCTTGTTAATATTGATTAAAAGCATATTTATATATATTTAATATCTTGCACATTTGTGAAATGTTGCAAATTTTTTCTACTACAATTCTACTACAATTTTATAATTTTTTCAATTAAATATTAAAGTGGTGATTGTAAATACGAATTTATTATTTCAAAAAGATTTATAACAAAAAACTTGCAAATTTCTGATCATGTATTATATTTTATAGACAATAATTATATACTATAATTTCCAAATGATTTGACAGTACAGAATAAATTTATGTATTTAAAGTTATAGTTTCCTATACATCAAAAAATTGGGAAAGGTCTACATAAAATGATTTCAAGATTCAGCAAAAGATTTATAGCTATGGTACTTTGGTATATATTAACCATAACATATATTGATCATAAATTTGATTTTTATAAATTTTTCCTAAAATGAGGATATCTCTAAAATATATCTTTAATTTTTACATTAATAATATATCAAGTTATTCATCATAAATTTGTCCATCGCATTTTTACAAAAAAATACGACCTAATTTGTTATCTACTCGTTGTCGATAAAATCTAAATAAATGTGAGATATGCTCGGGTCGCGTTAACACGACGGAATCAATTCCGCATCTAAGCTACAAAAAAAAAGAATTAATTGGTAAGTACCATCTATTTTTACATATGTATAATGCTATGACTAATAAATGAATGTATTAATATTTTTTATAAAATGTTTGCAAACAAAAACAATTCTTATAAATTTTGTTGTTACTGTAATTCAGTTCAATTAATTCAATTAATTCAATTAATTTAATAATTTTTCATTTTTATTCACCTAATAATTCCTTTAAATCTATGCTTAAAAAACTGTAATTGTATTTCAAGGTTCTCTATCTAATATGCTTTATCAATTATCCATGAAGTCCCTAGCATTATCCAATATCATACTGATAACATTGATTATCAGATTAATTAATATTTATTGTGCATAATTATCTATTCATTTTACATCACAAATATTATATGTAACATATTAGCAACAATATTAATCACATTACCACAGAAAATCCCTTTATCGCATGATTATTAACACGAATGGCTTATTTTTGATCTATAAGAACAAATGCATGACTTTTTACTTAAAATATATTGGTCCTCAAAACGTATCGTGCAAAATTTTCCCTCCAAAAACTTAAATTTGTGTAAATATTATAAAAAAATAAAATTTAGAACTATCGAATGCGATAAATTATTAGGCTTTTTAGGCTTCAAAAATTTGAAATTTTTATTGTTAAAGTAATAAAATCTATTATTAATAATTAGCATGATAAATATATTATTAATTATAGAATGAAAATAATTATTATTAGATTAACAAATTTATCATTAAATTTATAATAAAGTCTAGTAAATTTTCTAATAAAGTCACAGCCAATATGTATTAAAAGAAAAGACATTCATACGATTAATAATTATTGTCAGCGACTTTTTTAAATGTCGGTGATATTACAAATCATACGTTGCGTTAATAATACTAGTGCTAAAAATTCTTATCTCATTATAATATTGAATATAAATATCATATATATAATATTATAAACATCAAACTGTCAATATTATTATATCATTAAAATAATAAATGTACGTTATTGAATATTATATCAGATAATAATATTAATCGTATAATAACTCTAGGAAGGAGAGACAAAGAGAAAAGAGACAGGAATTCTGTGTAGGAACCTTTGTAGCATGTAAAGATATACAAAGAAAAAAATAATAAAAACTCAGGGCACAATGTGATTATGAAATGCGCAGCTTTCAAATGAATTCATTAGTACGAGACAATTAACATCAATCAATATTTTGTGTGTTCTAGGAAGAATCTATGATATCCCAGGAAATCGTCGATATTTCAATCCCGCAAGAAGACAAAAATATAAAGGTGACAGAGGAATTGTGCCGCAGAAATAACGCCGAGGTAATTAATCTCGAAACGAATAATTGCGCTGCGAATTCGCATACTTCAATGCTCGATCCCAGCGACGATCAGAAAGTCAAAAACGAGAAAGACGCGTCTGATGAGACGACATGGAAGGATCGACGAACGGACGACATCCTGGAGAATCAGAGGAAAAATAGCAAAAATGAAATCAATGCCAAGCTCAACAATCAGGAGCATAATCTCGAGACCGAGTGCAAGAATGACAAGGAACGAAAGGTTCGCAGGATCGATCTGAAGGCATATGGTTTCGAGAACGAATTCACGGATCAAAAGAAAATTATTCGACAGCAGAGGGTGATCAACAGATTGGACCTCAAATCCTTCGGCTACCAGGATGGCTTGCGTCGCACTTGCTCCAATAATCAATTGGATCAATCATCACGGAACAACGAGAAATCGAATTTAATAAGACGCTCAATCGAACGTAGCGGATTTAAAGGATCTCTGATCGACGCGCCAAAGTCACTCGATTGTAAAGATTTTGCGAAAAGCTCGAAGGATCTCAATAAGTTACGGGATAAAGTTGAGGAAGTGGGTTTAGGACTAATATCGGTCAAATCAATGCCAAATGTTGCTGATGAAGTATATTACCATGCGAATCCGGTTTATGTGAACGAGAAACAAGATCAGCAGGATGAATTGACTGCCAAGAATCTGCTGGATCGCGAAATCGATAAATCAAAAGAAGAAACAACGATGGATGAACATGATGCGATCGGCGACGAAGACGATTCACTGCTGAACAGTTACGACGAAGTTTCTTCCGACGTGGACAGATCCTTCGAGGATATATATGTCAGAAGCAAGGAACAATTTCGAAGAACGGAAAAAGAGTGGCGGACGATGCCCTCGGTGAAAAGACTCGCAGAAGTGTTTGGCAGACGACAAATTTCCGAAACAGAGACCATGCTAGTGAAAGTAAACAGAGCTTCGGTAACTAACGAAATAGTCTCTTCATTTTAATTAAATTTTATTTAGATCTTAGATTTCAATTTGAGCTAGATATATATTTGAAAAATATTCAAAGAGTAAAATAAGTCCATAATTTATAAGAATATACATAAGTTTCGATATAAATAATACAAAAAATAGATGGATTTATTTTAGAGATAAAAAACACATAGATAAAAAGATATATAATTTTATAGATAAATTTACGTAAATTTAATTGGATACGGATTCGTATCTAAAAAGAACTTATAAATTGTGATAGCACTTAATTTATGCTTTATTTATCGTGCGAAATTTATCGATCATATAAAGTGATTATCAAATTAAAAATCATATTTAAAAAATTTTTAAATTGATATACCATTTATATAATGTCGTACACAGTAATTTTCATTCTACATATGAATAATTTAAATATTCTATCAATGCCATGTATTTTTATCTCGCAGATGGCGAAGATAGACGATATCAAGGACAGATCGTTCACACCTGAGATACAGATAATCGAACCGCCAAGACAAATGCATAGTTTGACAGCTAGATCTCTTTCGAAAGAATTTCGAGAAGGACTTCGTCAAATGCCTGGTAAAGTGTCCTCGCCGCCAGTCAGTCGGTCATTGATAGAAGAGCGATCAATGAATCGAACGGAAATTGTACGATCGAAACGAGAGGATAACGATATAGACGTGATCTCGCCTGGCAAACTCAAATCGAATATTATATTCTGGGAGCAAATGCAAAAACGAAGTTAAACTAGTATCTCTTCTATTTGATAGCAATAAAAAGTTAAAATAAAAAGTTAAAATGGTCACAATGAAATAGATTTTTTTGTATATATGTAAGAACAGAGAGGAACGATATATTGTAAGTTATGCAACTGGAATTATGTACTATAATAGTGAAGAAATGTTAGAACAAATTTACACAATAAAAAGTCAAATCACGAATTTATAAAATAGATTCTAATAAGAAGTTAAATACTAACAATAAGTATGATAATTGTTGCAATACTAATGACAAATAATATTAATTAATAAAATTATAAAGATAAATTGTTTTATATCGAAGCCAAATTTATATGGATATATACTATCGAATGACTAATTTTTAATAAAACTGTTAAAAAGTCAAAAAAGAACAACTTTAAAATATCTTTATAAATGTCGCAATGAATTTTGAATATTTATAAATAATTTTATATATATATATGTATCATTTTGTGCATTTTTGCTCGAGCACACAGTTGTGAAAATATTAAATTATGATATCAAAATCAAATCAAACGTTATACTGCAGGAATAATATTAATGAAAAAAAGCTGATTTCCAGTTATTTTATGAGCTATAAAGTTGCTAGCGTTGCTATCCTTGTAAGGATAAGGATATGTTAATGTCTACGTTAATAAAATAATAGTCTCTTAGCTATTATAGATTTTCTTATAAGATATTATAAGATCTTATAAAAGATTTTCTTGCAAAACATGTAAGCATGATAGAGTAAACAAAATCATCTTAAATGATAACAATAAGAATAATTTGTATAAAAGTATGATTAAATTCGTGTCATACAGCGTCGCAACACATTGATAGCCAAAGAAAGCGTTCCGAATATCATTAAAGATGAGAAATCGATTTAATTTTCTTTTTACTGATTTATATTATACTTTTATCTGATTTATATTAAAAATTAAATTTAAATAAAAATTATTAAGTTAAAAAAATATAATGATATTCTAATGTGTAATTGTAATATTCGAGTGCTCTCTATCAATTTTTGATTGTACAAATGTCGATAAATTCATAAGAAATTTTCAATATCAATTAGATATTAAATCATTTTATGCCAAGATGTGACTTATGCGGCGTATATATAAAAAATGTGTAATATCATATATATAATCTTGTCATTGTGACAAAATAATCATATCTTTTTCGCAATATTAATAGTTTAATTTCAATAAACGTGTGTATATTTGTGTACGTATATACACATAAATATTATATATATATATATATATATATATATATATATATATATATATTGACGTATATGTATGCATATATTGTCAAACGATATAATCATGATGTCATTTTTAACAAAACCCTTAAAATTAAGAAGTAAAAAATAAGTTTAAAATATCTTCAAAAATGTCAATTAATTTTGTGTATGTTTATAAATGATTTTATATATGTATAGAGTTTTGTACATATTTTCGAGTACACAATTGTAAAAATATAATTATGAATACAATTATGAATATAATTATGAATACAATTGACATCACATAAATTTGATTCAAATATTATACTGTGAGAATAATAATAACTATGACATTTTGATAGCCAAAGAAAAGGTTCTAAATATCAGTACTCATTCGAGATGAAAAATCAGTTTAATTCTTTTTTCGTTGATTTATATGTTACAGAAGTTAAATTTAAATAAAAATTATTGAATAAAAAAATTTAATGATATCCTAATCATATATTTATTCATAATTTTTACTATTCATTAATTTTTGATTACAAGTGTCGATAAATTCATATAAGAAATTATCAACATTAATATTATCCAAGTATTAAACTATTTACGCCAAGATATTTGAGTTATGCAATACATGTAAAGAATATGTAACTTCATTAACATGATCTCGTCATTGGATCAAACAAATAATTGTGTTTGTAAAATTAATAGCTTAATTTCAGTATCTATATATTTTCAATATCTAATGTGATTTTTTCTACAAAAGTTGTAAATAATGTAAAGCTACTTGCAAACTGTGAATGAAAGATATTTAATGGATGATAGGAAATGTTTCTCTTGCAAAATATAATTTGAAGTAATATAGTAAAATAAAATTAAACCGAACCAAATATATTTTACATAAATATTTTTTGAAGCAGAATGAAAAAGGAGCTAAAGTAAAAAATAACTTAAAATGTAAAATGTAACGCATTATTCACTAAAATATGTAAAACAAAAAATCATAAGATACAAAATCAATACTTTTCACTTATTTGCCACAATTTTAAATTTTAATATAAGTTCTGTAATCTTTCTGAATATTAATTTGCAAGTGCCAAACAGTGGAATGCAATAAAGAAAATAAAACATATTCCAAACATGAATTGCACAAAGTAAAATAATATATGTAAGAATCGATCAACAGAAATCCTAGAAAAAGGATATAAAAGAATTATAAAAGGATATAAAAGAATATAAAAAGATTATAAACTATGATATAGAGCAATAGAAACAAAAGTAATATATAAATAATCAATACGTTATTAGCTATTACTTGAAAAAAAAGATATCAATGATATCTTATAATAGCCAATAAAAAGAGGTAATAAACCAAATTATATTAATAATATTTCAAAATAATAATATAAATATAAATACAATGACACAAAATATTGGTATTACGATATTTACATATATTATTTAAAACGGAGCAATATTTAAATAAATGTTCTACTCACAACAAAAATTCTTTTTGAAGTACGATGCCAAATTCCTCAATTGGTTCATTAATTGCTTTTGAGATCCAGAATGAAAATTTGAACATATGCAGCACAAATGACCAATCCACTGTTCTGTCGTCAAGTCGATAGGATGAAACATCATGTTGATATGTCATGAGACAGCGTACAACAATTTCAAATAAGTTCTTTCGCTATCCCATATTATGTAGCGAAACATCTATAAAAATCAAATAAAACACTTTATTAATAGAAATCTAGAAAATAGTTCTTTAGTACGAAAAATAAAAACTTAAATATAATTTAACGAGATGATTTTCAAGTGTCACATTTTATTCTTTTTATTCTTGGTATTAATACATCGACATAAAATTACCACAATTCTCTGCAATATTCCTATGCTTTTAATGATCACTAGCTCATAGATATTTGTTGTAAATACTATGTATGAATTCACTATTGCATACAAATTGGCAATACATAATACAATTGAACATAGATTGTACATGAGTAAACGAGATAAAAACATATGATAAAATTGATCTTATAAGGCCTGTATTTATAAGAAAATCAATATTGAATATTGAAAATAGAGATATATCTACTCTTATGCTGTTCATTCAGTTCTTCATTCAAAACCTCATTCAGTGTTTTTCATCTTCGAGATCATTACTAAATAAAATTTATTAATTGCAATTTCACTCTTTATTCTTTCTTATAACTTCCTTTTTTAAAATGAAATTACATGCTGCAATATTAGAGTCGATTTTCAAAACGGCGCGCCTAAAAAATCTAACCTAACCTAACTGAAACTACGATCTTTCCTGATATTCATAATAAATATCTTTTTTAAAATAACTTTTTCACGAAATAAGGAAACTCACCTTCGACATGAATCCTTTGACGTCTACATTGCACTGATCAATATGTCCTGCGCATTTTCGACGATGATTTCTATTATCAAGTATCACACCACAGTTCCCGTCAACACTGCTTTCGCCGGTCATTTCAAAATGTCGACTGCGATTATTTTGCTTATGGTCACTTTAACTATTATGGCTGTGACCAAGAGAAAATAAATGTGATAATAAAATGTAAAGAATCTTTATTTTTTTATTTACAAAAATATATTCGCGTATCACATTCACTTCTGAAATATCATGACAATAAAAAATGAACATAAATATATTACGCGTTTTTTTTCTCTATTGACAATCGCGCGCAACTTTGAAAAAAATGTTCTTGTGATCAGTAATATTATTTCCTTTTCTTAATGTAAAAAATTAAAAAAAAAAATAAAAAAATTAATATAATAAGCACGAAAAAAAGCACAATGAATATGTTTAGGTGCATTTATTCATATTATTAGAGAAAAATAATGGATTTTAAAAAATAGTAAAAGAAATAAAAAAAAAATAAAATTTCAAATATATATATAAATTCTGAAAGGAAATGTAAATCATTTACAAAACTAAACAAATATCAGGTAAATTTATCAATTAAAAATTTCTCGATTGCATGTTCTAATTCGCAGAATAGATATGAACGTATTAAAATATTAATAAAGTATATCGATGTAATTTATTATATTATTAACTAATCAATATTTTCTTCGCAGAATAATTTCCCAATCCGATATATTAGTAAAAGAACAGCACAAGCCTCTGAATCGATAATTCTACTCGAATGAGATCGAATTCCTCAATTAAAATTATTTCGAATATAATCGCATTTATACACACAAGAAAAAATTTTTATATTTCTATGAGATGTTTCAAAAATTATATTGAAGATTAAAAATACTTGGAAATTTTGTATTTATATTGTGTCCTGATAACGTTGAGTTGAGAAACTGGGTATTGTTCCGTTTTGTCTTCACGTGATTATTTATTTATTTCATTTACATCTCAATTTACAAGATTTACTTTAAAATTTATATTATTATTTGCAAGGCTAAATAAATATTAAATAAATTTATTGACTAAAAGTTTCTCTCGACTATACATTTCAATTCACAGAAAAAAAAGCAAACCAAGTCTCTATCTATCGATAATTCTGCGGAATTAATCATTGTTTCTTTCGTAAAAAGGTCCCAGACCTATTATTTTGAATTCGGCACTGCGACATCTTTCGAAGTAAATCATCGAACAGGTTTTATCAAGTGGGGTAAAATACAAGGTATTTCTCGATTAGAATTATTTGAATATATTATCGCATGATATATGTGCGAAAATAAAATTCAATACATATAAAGTGTTTTGAAAGTGATGTCCAAAGTTAAACTAATAAGAAATGTTGTATTTATGTTTTATTTTTGTACAGTTAAATTGAAAAGCATTCGTTACTTTGTCATATTTTTGTCTTAAAGCAACTATATATTTAGTAGTTTCTCTATTATTTCAATGTGCAAGGTTTTTCTTTAAGATTGATATTATATATTTGCAAGACTAAACATAAATATTAAATTCGTCGATTAAAAGTTTCTCGATTGTAAGTTTTAACTCATAGAATAGAGTTATGAATTTATTAAAATATAAACATATATCAATGTAACTTGTTATGTTATTAACAGATTGATATCTTCTTCGCAGCAAACCGGTTCGGTATTATGGAAAAAAGAAAAAAAAAGAAAAGCAGAAAAAGCCGTTCTCGACCGGTAACGATTTTGCCCCGTATTAAAGAAGAGCAGTACGAGGTTGAAAATGATTCTATCCAAACACAGGAGACATCATTGCCTCCTCCTACATCGAAGGATTATGCTGGGTATCATATATTTTTGAATTAGAACTACATCGAATAATATGATATCTCATTTTATACGATGATAAAATTTCATATTTCTATGAAACGTTTAGAAAATAATGTCCAAATTGTTAAAATATTTGGAAATTTGTTATCTTTACATCGATGAGTTGAGAAACGTTTATTCTGTTTCGTTTTATGATAACGCGATTATATATTTATTCGTTTTATTAACATCTTAATTTATAAAATTTACATTATTCATTTGCAAGGCTGAATAATCAAATAAATTAACTAAGAGTTAACTAAGAGATTCTCGAATGCATATTCTGACCAACAAAACAAATATGGATTTATTAAAATATAATCGTATACCAATATAACGTGCTATATTATTAACAGATTAATGTTTTCATCACAGAGACAAGAAAGAAAAGGAAAACAGACCAAGTTCGCTTCTAAATACATCACTGCCTGATATTGTAGAAGAAGAAGAATCTTTAAATATCAATAATTCTGCAGAGATATTCACACGATGTGATTCACACGAGAAATTATTATCTTCTTCTATGTCGAAGGATTACACTGGGTATTATAATGCTCGATTAAAATTATTTTGCAATAAATTATTGTGTGCAATAAAAAATAAAATTTAATATTTCTGCAAAAGAAATATTTAAAAGATGACGTTCAAGATAGTAAGATATTTGGAAATTTTGTGTCTTTATATAGTCGCGTTGAGAAGCGTTTATTAATTTGTTTCATTTTATTTAAACGCGATTATACATTTATGTGTCTATAATGACACTTAATTTGTAAAGTTCAGTCTAAAATTTACATTTATTCATTTGTAAGACTGAATAAATGTCAAATAAATTTATTGACCAAAAGTTTTTCGATTATATTTTCTGATTCGCACAATAACTATGGATTTATTAATATACAAACATATATCAATATAACTTGTTATGTTATAAAAGATCAATGTTTTCTTCGCAGAGGATCTGCCAAGTCCGATGTGGAAGAAGAGGAGTACCTTGATTGTTTCGACTCTGACGAGATAAGAATGGCTAGGATAAGACAGTATTATATGATAAGAAAGGAATTAAAGAATATTAAAAAATTGTATTTAGTAATTAAGAAAAAATTAGCATGCATTCATTCGGAACCAATTATGAGAGAAGATTTCGACCCTAACAAGGGTCGAAAAGATAAAAAACCGGAAGATATTCACAAGGGTCAAAAAGATAAAAAACTGGAAGATATTCAAGTCACGAAAAATGAAATTTCTCGAAAATGTCCATTGCAATGTCGTTTCACAATCTTATCATTATCATTTCTACCTGTATTTCTACTTTTATTGTATTTCTATTTTGGACATTCGCATATAATTCACGCGCCTGACATTGCCGCATTGGAAAAAGAGATATTAGATCATGACAAAGCCGTACGAGTTTTGACCGAATATCTTCAGCGAGATATACCTCTCTTCAAAGTAGTAGCTCTTATCGGTGGTAGAAGCGTCGATAAGTCACATATGAATATTATTAAAAAAAGACTTCACAAAAGAAATGACAATAATTTCTCATCTTCGTCGAACTTTGTCGTCTTGAAGAATTTGAGAGCAGAGCATTCCACAGATATCGTAAATTTGGTGAAAATGTATCAAAAAGCATACGATAGTAGACCGTTTACCATATTGGCCGTTTTTAAAATTGAGCAAATTAATGATGAGTCCACGTATAGTATAGATATGAATCAAACTATAAATATTGTAAAAGATAGTTTCACCGAAGCAAATATTATCAGTAAAATTATTCCCTTCGAACCTCTAAACGAAGAAATTTTAGAAAAATACATTATAAACACGGCGAAAAATATCGGACAAACTTTTTGGCGAAAGATCAACTATAATAAACAAAGTTTAAAAGAAGATAATATGAATTGCAAAAAGCTTATGGTTGCTAAAGAATGAAAATCATGCATAATTGTTTCCAAGCAAAAGAGTTTAAGTTATTATATTGCGTTTAATAAAGCAATATTCATTTAAACAATGTGTATTCCTTTCTATATGCATTTTCAATTGTAACTTGTTGCAATAATTTTATTACTATAAATAATAGAAAATATTTTCCAGGTTTTATAAATATATCAAATCATGTCTCGATACTGCTAAATTATTTCGTCAGTTCATTATTCTTTTCAATCTAAAAAATAAATTTGATAATTAATAGCAGACGAAGAAGAAACTTAATTTTGCATTAAAAGCCACGTGCAATTTACAGTCATGATGAGCTGCTGTGAATGAACGCGTGAATAAATTTTCATATACATTTCTTGTGGATTGAACTAAAAACGAACGATGATTTTTGCAGAGAATAATGTGTAATGTATTTAGTGTATGTCCGGCAAAACGCGTAATCAGCACGCAATTAAGCGCGATTAAACAATCTCACATTGATTAGGACTCCCGACATACGTAATATCTCAGATTTTGCAAAGTTCTATTTTGTGATAACATTTGGTTTTATGATTTGCAAGCAACCGCGGTTATTGCGTATGTAAATCTTCGTAATAGCTAAAATATTAAGCTGTACACTGCGCTTGTTGTAGCATCGATTGTTCTTATACAAAAAAAAATTCAGTCGAGATTGTTTTATTTTTTCTTTTTTTTAGCTGTAAGATTATAGAATTTGATTTGTAAATTATTTATTTCTTTGTACTGTGTAGAATAAATGAATAGTTAATATTGTAAATTAAATTGTTTGTTAGTATAATGTCAAAATAATTTGACTGTATTAAATCTTAAACTCTGAAGAAGAAACTATAAATCCGATAAATTTATTATAATCAGCATTAATAGATTATGAAAAAAGATTGTATTACAATGCTTTATTTATGTTTACATTCTAGTTCTATAATACGATTTATTTAAGAAGCAATATTGTATTTATTGTATAATTTTTTAAAACTTTGTAAGATCTTTTTATTTCTAATTTGTAACATATAACGATAATACAATAACGATAATAGTAAAATAAATATAAATATATATATATATATATATATACATATACATGCATATATACAATATATACATATATATATATATATATATATATATATATATTGTATATACATACATACATATATATATATATATATATACATATATATGTATGTAAATATATATATATATATATATATATATATATTTACATACAACTCTTTATTTGAAAACTCTATATTTATAAATATTATTATCGAAAAACCTAAATAGTTTATTAAATATATCTCGGAGTTATACTCTTCCTTATAACAACATTGTATTTCCTCAAAATGAGAATAAAATATATGAAATTGAAAAATTGTGCACCTATAATATAATCTAACTCCTTTTTTCTATTCTATATTTATTTATAAATCAGCGAACAGTTGTGAATTCTCGAAGCTTCTTAAGCAGACATAAAAAAGAAACACCTTCATGCCAATATTATAACATTTTCGTCGATGTATATATAATATTATGTGTCTTTTTAATGAAAATTGAGCCGCCAACAACGATTTCTGCATCATAATCACTATCCTCAGCTATGACATGATTACATTATTTCGATATTTCAAACTGTTAGCTATCTGACTAACTGATATTATATCATACTCATCTTATTGTTACTAATCTATGTTTGTGTCGAGCTTTCTATTCCTTCTAATTACCTTTTCTAATCCAATAATCTATTTTTCTCATCTATAGTAAATAAAATTCTCAATTTTAAAAATTCACTGTTCTCACAGATGAGCACAATTTTATTTATTTGATTTTTAACTTTTTTTTAACTAAGAAGAAAAAATTATTATAATTATCAATCCCAGAACTTAAAGGTTCTAATATTAAATTTCCTCCATCATTCTGATTAACGACCTCTGTACTAATATAACCCTGAATGAAACATACACATTCATGCTAAGAAATTAATAGTTTATTTTTAAATATATATAATATATTGATTAAAAAGTGTTTTTGTTGATTTTTTTGAATAAACTTAGATTTTTATGAAATTATTATTAATTGATTGAACCGCTCACATTCTCTAGTGTAAAGGTCGCACTTGGTCCCGTGTCGTATAAAAAAGATTAGATTCTCTTATTGAAAAGAGATCACCGGATATACAAGCAAAGTAATAACAATTGCATCGAACAAGCAAAGTAATAACGATTCTAAATGGCTGTCTTTCGGGCTTATGGTTCTTTCGGTCACCCACCACTGATTGACCCATCACTGCGTGATTTCTATAAAATTGTTATATCCTTCAATTATTATATCAATACAATTGTTATATTCTCGACCCATCTTTCTCTTGGTGTGGACGTATTATATTTATAGAAATACATAATACTTTGTTATTAATATTTTTTTAAAATATTCTTTTATCGTAGAACTCCCGATATCATAACAATACTTTGCATTTCACTTGATTTATGATTGGTTGATCTGAAAATTTACCAATAAAAATGTTTGATCGATTCAGATAGGTCACAAAAATTAATTAACATATAATATGAAATAATTCTACATGTATTCTTAATATATTTTAGTTTTCACAGTATGTTCATAGTATTGCACTTTTAATCTTATAATATTTAGAGTCACAATATATCCATACATAAAAAGTAAGAAATTTACGCATAATTTGAACATACTTATATTATGAATTGTAAATGTTGTAATGCACACTATTGACTGGAAAATATTTCCTGAATAATAGCGATATCGGTTGGATAATATTGTGTCAGGATTTTATTTGGAACGTAATGAGTGCCTTTAAATGTAGAAAAGTATCGTCCTGTTTTAATATGATTGATCCATATTGGTAGACATATCGATATCAAATCTAAAACAAAAGATATATATTGAAAAGATATAAGATCATATTCGTAACTATATTTATAAAAATGGTATAAATCTTTATACCTTGTTCTACATAGTAAATTTCATTTTCAGAGAGGATTATGTAATATGGTTTAATATTTGTGTGGGTCTGTATGTTTATTTATTAGTACAGACATTCTTAAACAGTATTTAAACCTGCCTATAATCATACTCTTTCTTTGATTTTTAATAAATTTTTTTTAAAGTATTGATTGTTTTTATAATGCCATCCAATTATTACACCGCAGTGATTTTTTCCATATCCCCTATACGATACTATCATTCCAATCGCAAATTTTACTTTGTCCTCTCTTTTCGTCTTTTCGATTTTTTCTTTTAATTCTTTTGTTATTACAACATCAGATTTAACTTGTGAAAATATAATAACTTCAAATATATCACATCTTGTCAAGCAATTTCTAAAATAACATAATATAATAATTTAAATCTTATATAATATTATAATATAATTTCTTCATTGATGTATGGATATTAAAGTATATAGACATACAGTATGCAATAACATACCTTTATTATTTGTGTAATCTTTTTGTAAACATCATATCTTGCATTAGATATTAAATAATTGAGTACAATATTGAATAACCTATGGAACTTCCATATGTAATTTATATTCTCATTATTTGTTAGTTTATCATCGAGATATTTTACAATATCATGAATTACCTAAAAAAACAAAAGAAATATAGTAAGCAAAATTTTGATTGCAAGCAAGAAATTAAAAATAAAATTTATTTCTTTCACTTATTGATTATAAAATGTATCGAGACTCGTTGATTTAATGTATTATTCAAACTTATAAAATTGAATGTTATTTTTATTAATTATTGTTAAAATTAATATAAAAATTCACGTCTTTTTGCCATTCCTTCTCATTATCATGTGTATATGGGAATTCACTGCGGAATCTATTTTTGACAATATTTAACGGATAAATTAAGTTGGATTCCTCTTTTATATATAAATATTCTGCATTATTCCAATCATCCGTATTACTGAAAATAATAGAAAAAGACATTATACGTACATATATACATATGTATATGCATATACATATATATACATATATATGTATATACACATACGTTTAAATATATAAAAAGAATATTTATTATATTTATTATTCATAATTTCTAGAGCATTTGTAATTGATTAATAAAAAATGTTGTACTTAAATCTTATTTCAGCAAAGTACATTTTTAAAAATTATGAAAGACTTGAAGCAATAAACTTTTAAAATAAATATAAAAATATATCTGGAGACACAATGTCTAAACTCACTGAATTTTACCGTTCCCATGTATTACAGATATGTAGACGATGTTTTTACAATTGTACCACGCACAAAAGTTGACGATATTTTAACCATTTTTAATAACTATCACGAACGTTTAAGATTCACGTACGAGAAAGAAATTGATTCTTCGATTAGTTTTCTCAATGTAAAATCATTCGATTGGGAACAAAACTTATTACCAATTGGTTTAGGAAACCTACATGGTCCGGGAGATATATTAATTTTTATTCGAATCACCCGTTAAAATATAAAATTAATACTATTTATAATTTAGTTGACCATGCCATTTTACTATCTGACGACTGCTTTAAACAAGAGAATATTAAGTTAATATATGACACGTTAGTTAATAATTGTTTTCCTGAACACATTATTCATAGACACATTCGAAAAAGAATCAATTTTTTAAACAACCGTGACTGCAATGATACTGATGACGCCAAGTCTACTCATCCAGATAAAACTCATTTTATCACTATACCATACATAGAGAATACGAATCAAGATCTCTACCGTCTTCTACGAAACAGTGGTTTCAACGTCGTCTACAAAGTAACAAAAAAACTAAATAACTTAATTAGATGTGGTAAAGACATCTTACACAATAATGACAAGACAAGTGTTGTATACAAATTAAATTGCAAGGATTGCAATCTATCATACATTGGGCAAACAAAAAGACATTTGCGGACTCGAGTGAAAGAACATTGTAACAATATAAAGTTACATGAGTCTAATCACTCCGTTATTAGCAAACACAGATTGGAATCCGGACACGATTTTGATTGATCGAAACCTAACATCTTGTACAATGAAAAGTACGTTCGTAAAAGAGAGATAGCTGAGATATTCTTTATCAAGAGATTTAATAATCTAATCAACCTACAGAAAGACACAGATAGTTTAAATAATATTTACGACAAAATTATAAAGGTCACTTAGTATCGTTTTTCCTCTGGTTATGTTTAGTTTCTTGACGAAATCTCACATGGACGCATCAGCTTCTCTCAAATTTAATTCTAGTTAAATAACGTTTTTTGTATTATGTGATTGCGTTGTTTTACATGTGTACCATTAGTGCTTGCCTTCTGATTACTATTACATCGGTAAAAATCTTTTCACACTTTAATTCTTTGTTGCGTTACTATGTATTCAACCATTAATTTATTTATTTATAAATTTTTCTAGTGTATACTTGATAAGGACCACAACCATATGGTCGAAACGTCGTATTAATAAATTCATTTTTTTTGACTAGTTTGGTCGACTACAATTTTGCAATGATCCATAAAAATATATTTTTAAAAAATTTAACAATTTTTTATTTAAATCTTATTTGTCATTTCATTATACAGTGGCATTTTATCATTCCATAAATATTATATAATTACAAAAAATTAATTTATCATTTAAAATATAATTTTTTTTTATAAAATTTTAATAATTTTTATAAAACAAATTCTATTATATAATGTTTGCTAATATTTTAAAAAGATAATGAATATAATTGACTGATACAATCACATTTTTATACAAGCGTGAACAAGAACAATGAATATGTATATTTTGCTATGTCTACGTGCATATATGTCTATTCACATTATTAAAGAAAAAAAATAAATTTTTAAAAATAATAAAAGGAATAAAAGTAAAATTTTAATTTAAATTTTATTTATTTATTTATTTATTTATTTATTTATTTATTAAAATATGAGTCAGGTTAGAAAACATAAATCATTTACAAAACTAAACAAATATCAGATAAATTCATCGACTAAAAATTTTTTGATTGCATGTTCCAATTCGCAGAACAGATATGAACGTATTAAAATATTAATAATGCATATCAATGTAATTCATTATATTAACAAATCGATGTTTTCTTCGCAGAGTACTTTTTCAATTCGATATTATAGAAGAAGAAGCACAAGCCTCTGAATATCGATAATTCTAATTCTGCATCGAACGAGAAATCGCTTCTCTTCATATCGAAAAATTACTTTAGGTACCTTATATTTTTCAATTAAAATTATTTCGCATTTATATACAAGAAAAAAGTTTAATATTTCTATCAGATGTTGCGAAAATTATATTGCTTACTAAAAATATTTGTAATTTTTTATTTATTTATATTGTGCCCTTACATCGCTGAATTTAGAATTGTTTATTAGTCTATAACGTTTTGTTCTCACGTGATTTTATTTACTTCATTGACATTTCAATAAGCAAGATTTACCATAAAATTCATATTATTCATTTGCAAAGCTAAATAAATATTAATAAATTTATCGACTAAAAGTATCTCTCGATTATATATTTCAATTCGCAAAGAAGAAAAAAAAGAAAAGCAAGCCAAGCTTCTATCTCTCGATAATTCTGCGAAATTAGAAAAATCATCATTCCTTTCATACCTAGACCTATTATTTTGGAACTCGAAATTACGACTTCTTTCGAAGCAAATTACTGGACAGGTTTTATCAAGTGGAATAGAATATAGGTATTATTTTCTCGATTAGAATTATTCGAATATATTATCATATAATATATGTGCGAAAATAAAATTTAATACATACAAAGTATTTCGAAAATAATGTCCAAGGTTGAACTCATAATGACCATTTCTACCAACGCCACTTAACTTTAATCTTAGCTTAACTCATTCTTTGTCTCTTTCTAAAGGAACAGTTAAAAGCGTTGGTAGAAACAGGCATAAGAAATGTTGTGTTTATGCTTTATAGCTTTGTATAGCTAAATTGGAAAACATTCGTTTCTTTATTATATTTTTGTGTTAAACAGCGACTATACATTTAATAGTTTCTCTAATATCTCAATGTGCAAGATTTTTCTTTAATATTTATATTATATATTTGCTGAACAAATATGAAATTCGTCGATTAAAAATTTCTCAATTTTAAGTTTTGACTCGTAAACTAGAGATGTGAATTTATTAAAATATAAACGTATATCATTGTAACTTATTATATGTTTAACAGATCGATATCTTCTTCACAACGGACCAGTCTGATATTATGGAAAAAGAGAAAGAGAAAAGCTGCGATTTACTAATGCCAACGTTACAGTCTTCTGTTGCTGAAGAGATAACTCGATTCATCGAATATTCTCGAAAGTTTAAAGAAAACACTAAGAAAACATCATTTTCTCCCATAGCGAAATACAATAGGTATTATATTTCTCGATTAGAATTACGTCGATATTATAAAATTGCATTGTGTGCCATAATAAAATTTAATATTTCTGTAAGAAATATTTACAAAATCATTTTTAAGAAGTTAAAATATTTGGAGATTTTGTATTATTAATTATTATTTATTTTATATAGCGTTTATTAATTTATTTCACTTTATCTAAACGTAATTATATGTATTTATATATTTATATTTCATTGTATTCATATTTATGTTTTATTGATATCTCAATTTGTATAAGTTCATTCTAAAATTTACATTATTCTTGTTTACAAGGCTGAATAAATATCAAATAAATTAACTAAGAATTAACTAAGAGTTTCTCGAATGCATATTCTGACTAACAGAACAGATATGGATTTATTACAATATAATCGTATATCAATGTAACTTGCTATATTATCAACAGATGAATGTTTTCTTTGCAGAGAAAAGAAAGAAAAGGAAAGAAAATTAAGTCCTTTTCCATTCGCTTCAAAAGGAATGCAAAATATTAATGTACAAAAATTCGAACCTCTACATATTGATAATTCTGCAAAATCACGTGGGAAATTATCGTCTTTTCCCATGTCGAAGGATTACGCTGGGTATTATAATTCTCGATTAGAATTACATCGAATATAATTTTGAATATTAATGTATTATATGCAATAGACAGTAAAATTTAATATTTTTGTAAGAAAAATATTTAGAAAATAATGTTCAAGATATATATAATAAAATATTTGGAAATTTTGTGTCTTTATATAGCTACGTTAAGAAGCGTTTATTAATTTGTGCATTTTATTTAAATGCGATTATATATTTATGTGTCTATAATGCATCTTAATTTGTGAAGTTTAATCTAAAATTTACATTTATTCATTTGTAAGACTGAATAAATGTCAAATAAATTCGTTAACTAAAAGTTTTTCGATTGTATTTTCTGATTCGCACAATAACTATAGACTTATTAATATACAAACATATATTAATATAACTTGTTATGTTATAAGAGATCAATGTTTTCTTCGCAGAGCATCTGTTGAGTCCGATGTGGAAGAAGAGAAGTACCCGCAACGAATACCTTTTTGTTTCGATGAATCTGACAAGATAGGAATGGCTAGGACGAGAGAGTATCTAGAGAAAGTAGCGATAATTACAGAAAAGAAATTAAAAGCTATTCGTAAATCTCCAGCGTATTTAAAGATGAAGGAAACATTAGAAAATACTTATTCGGAAAAAATTATGATAATTAACAAAGATCAAAAAGATAAAGAACCGGAAGATATTCACAAGGATCGAAAAGAAAAAAAACTGGAAGATATTCAAGTCATGAAAAATGAAATTTCTCGAAAATGTCAATCGCAATGTCATTTCACAATCTTATCATTATCATTTCTACCTGTATTTCTATTTTTATTGTATTTTGGATTTTCGCATATATAAATCACACGCCTGACATTGTCGAATTGGAAAAAGAGATATTTGAGCATGACAAAACCGTACGAGTTTTGATCGAATATCTTCAGCGAGATACACTTCTCTTCAAAGTAGTAGCTCTTATCGGTGGTAGCGACGAGCGTCGATAAGTCACATATGAATATTATTAAAAAAAGGCTTCACAAAAGAAATGACAATAATTTCTCATCTTCGTTAAACTTTATTATCTTGAAAAATTTGAGAGCAGAACATTCCACAGATGTCATAAATTTTGTGAGAATGTATCAAGAAGCATACGATAATAGACAGTTTACTGTATTGGTCGTTTTTAAAATTGAGCAAATTAATGACGAGTCGACGCATAGATATGAACCAAACTATAAATATTGTAAAAGATAGTTTCGCCGAAGCAAATATTGTTAGTAAAACTATTCCTTTCAAATTTTTAAGTGAGGAATTTTTAGAAAAATACATTATAAACACGGCAAAAAATTATATTGGACGAACCTTTTTGTGAGAGCAATTAGAATAAACGACGTTTAATAGAAGATAATATTAATTGCAAAAAGGCCTATGGTTGCTAAAGAATGAAAATCATGCATAATTGTTTCCAAGCAAAAGAGTTCAAGTTATTCAAGTTATATGCGTTTGATATAATAATATTCATTTAAACAATGTATTCCTTTTCGTATGCATTTTCAATTGTAACTTGTTGCAATAATTTTATTACTATAAATAATAGAAAATATTTTCCAGGTTTTATAAATACATCAAATCGTGTCTCGATACTGCTAAATTATTTCGTCAGTTCATTATTCTTTTCAATCTAAAAAATAAATTTGATAATTAATAGAAGAAGAAGAGACTTAATTTTGCATTAAAAGCCACTTGCAATTTACAGTCATGATGAGCTGATGTGAATGAACGCGTGAATAAATTTTCACATAGATTTCTTGTGGATTGTACTAAAAACGAACGATGATTTTTGTAAGGAATAATGTGTAATGTATTGTTTAGCATATGCCCGGCAAAACGCGTAATCAGCACGTAATTAGCACGGTTAAACAATCTTATATTGATCAGGACTCCCGACATACGTAATAACTCGGATTTTGCAAAGTTCTATTTTGTGATAACATTTGGTTTTATGATGATTTGTAAGCGACTGCGGTTATTGCGTATGTAAATCTTCGTAATGACACGTAATAGTTAAAATATTAAACTGTACGCTGCGTTACGTTGTTAGCATCGCTCGTTCTTATACAATTAAAAAATTCATTTGCGATTGTTTCATTTTTCTTTTTTTAGCTCTAAAATGATAGAATTTGATTTGTAAATGATTTATTTCTTTGTACTGTATAGAACAAATAAATATTTAATGCTGTAAATCAGATTGTTTATTAAGTGTAATGCCAAAAAAACTTAATTATATCAAACCTCAAGCCTTAGAGAAAAAACTACAAATCCGATAAATTTATTATAATCAGTGTTAATAGATTATGAAAAAAATTATATTACAATGCTTCATTTATGTGGTTACATTCTAGTTCTATAATACGATTATTTTAAAAAGCGTATTGCATTTGTCATATAGTACCATTTTATCATTCCGTACATGTTAATACATGATTATAAAAAATTAATGGTATTTATCATTTAAAATATAATTTTTATAAAACAAATTGTATTATATAATATTTGCTAATTTTTTGAAAAGATTATGTATATAATCGACTGATACATTCACATTCTTATACAAGCTCAGCCGCTCAAGCGCTCCTTTCATTCGTCCAATTTGTATTTAATATTTCTGTTATTATTGCGAAAATTGTAAAATAGTATAAGACCTTTCTCTTCAGTTTACTGGTCTCTACCTCTTCACAAGCGCTTGTATATAATGTTCTGGGACACCCTGTATATCAAACATAATGATATATACCAACAATTCTAGAATACAGTCACAATATGTCAAACTATAACATATATTAATAATTTTATCATTTTTTATTTTTACAGTTATCGAAATACGTGATCTGTTTATAAAATAAATAAAATAAATAAAATAAATAAAAAAATACAGATTTTTGTAAGTGAAATTATATTGTTTCATTTAAAACTCTTAAAATAATTTTGATCTTTTAACAAGAAAAAAAGATTTTGATTACATTCGTATGTGTGTGTAGCTCTATGGCAAAATTTTAAATATTTTAAATATTTTCATGCTCTAATTTTACTTCATTAATTTAAAGCGAAGGAACAATCAAATATCTGTAAAACTTTATAAAAAAATATTAAACATATATACACACACACACACACACACACACACACACATATATATATATATATATATATATATATAATATATAATATAATATTGAGTCTGTTTCTATAATTTCATGTATTTAATATATTTATTATTTTAATTTGTATTTAAATAATAAATCGAGCGACATTGAGGAAACATGCTCGAATTCTTATGCTTGATTTTATAATTTTTATATATCTCTTTTATATAAATTTGTATTTATTTTATGTATAATATACATATAGGCCGTGTTCCAAATTTACTATTAGTATTGAAAATCTATAGTTTACGTCACACATACTATAAATTTTCAGTACTGGCAGTAAATTCGGAACACGGCCATATTAGAAAGTAAGATATTTTCAAGATATTTTTCTAATATTTTATTTATAAAACAAGTGAAGAAAGATACAAATGCGTGCATTTGCAATATTCAATGGCTAATTGGCATTATAAATGTAAATATTATTGAAAAAACAGGATTGATATTTTAAATTTATAATGTAAATATCTTATCTTATACAAAAAATTAATGCATAATGATTAAAATTAGAAGAATTAAGTAAGTATCTCGATATTGCATATAAAATTCACTGATTAATTTAAATAATTAAATATCAAATGTTTCACATATACAATATATGCAATTTAATTTACATGAATAAAATTAGAATTATTTGATCATATAAAAAAAACAAAAAAAAATTTGTTTTAATTTATTTCAAATTTATAATTTAGTAAAATATATGATTACATTAGTACAGCACATCATTGGGGTTATATTTTGATTTGTTCAATGTAAAATGAATTTTAAGAATTTAAAATAAATAAACAACAAGAGATATCTAATCACATAAAATTAAATATATTGATTTGAATTATTGATCTCTATAAATATGTCAAATGATATACGGTTGATTATATATATATATATATACATATATGTATATGTATATATGTTTTGTGAACTAAGAGTTATTTATTGACATAGAGACTTACAATTAGATTATCTGAAACAATTCCCAAGCCAAAAGGCGCTGTGCTCGATTTTGGTCTGCCAAAATGGAAGATGATGCCTCTAGAGCATAAGATACCTATGATACCTGGACCCAAAAATGCTTACAATTTCACACGATGTAAGGTAGGAAAAAGTCTATGGGAGACGGATGAACCAAAGACTGAGTTTGATTTGAGTGACCCTTATTGCCACGAGAGCGGATTCCCCTATGAACCCCTGCACGATAAGCATCTACACGATTTTTTCTCTAGACCGGCTAATATGAAGTGTCTATTAAAAGCTGATCTTATCACAGTCGATATGAACGTGAAATGTTCACTGCGCGATTATAATATTTATAGAAAATATTTGAATAAAGTATACACTGATCATGTTAGAAAAGAGTTGAGAAGAAAAAATCATTTATTTGTCGAAAGCAGAGCCCTTCATTTCGCCGAGGATCAAGCGCGCAAGGAAGCAGAAAAGTATATTTCATAATTATTATGCAGCTAAAAAAGAACACATTTTCTTAATTTAAAAAAATTAAAATTTTTTTCAATAAAGAAAAATAAATTTTCCCATGATAGATATTTTAAAACTATCGGATATTCATTTAAAATAAATGTCATCAACTTAAAATAGATTTTTTTAGTTTAAATAAATATCGTGGCATCAATAATTTTCAAATTATGTCACTGAAAAAGAACTTCTTACAAAATTATATAGAAAGCTAAATAAATGGCAAAGCTATATTTTTCAATTAATTTCAAATAAAATTTGTTAGACGTGAAATTTAATTTTAATTACAAAGATGTATGATAAAAAAAATTGAAAAATTGTAAAAAAATGGTTTCCAATTTATGCGTTTATTATATTTTTATTGAAGAATCTATCATCAAAAATATATCTTATAGTTTTGGAACATTCTGTTTATTACTTGCATTAGAACATGCTAAGATTTATGATAAATTTATTTTATCTTTTTATTTTTATAATTATTGATATCTTTATATTATTTTTCTTTGAATTTATAGAATAAACATACTTATTATAAGTTTTTCATGAAATTTTTAGATTAAAAGAAAGAGAAAAATTAGTCAAAAGTAGGCAGCAACGTGTACAACAGCGACTATTACAAAAGGAATTAAAAATCCGGCAACAAAAAGAGAGAATGCGTAAAACAATGCAAAGATTGCAGGTGTTAAAGTTCATTAGGAAAGAAGAACAAAGACTATTAAACATTAAGCGTAAAAAGCGGTCCGAGCAGATTCAGCAAAAATGTAAAATCGCGACGGAGATTGCTCGACACAAAGTGATTGATATTTTGGCAAATTGGAAAAAGAAAGACATAAGACGAAAAAAAGCTAAAAAGATGCGACTAATGGACATTAAACAACAAAAGCAGAACATTATAGAAGAAAAGTATATGAAATTTTTTTATATATTATTATCATAAAAAATATGAACAACGTATCCATCAAATATTCGCAACATGATTTAACGATTTTAGCTTAAGTATAATAATCTAGCAGAAAAGAAAGCTCTATAGCAAAATTTCCACAGATGGAAAAAGAAACAATACTTGCAAGAAAAGGATATTGCGAAAGAGAAAGCACTATTACAATGTATAGATATTCGCCGACAAAAATTTATACAGAATTATAATGACAAAATCAATAAAGAAAGAGCAAGAATGCAAAGTAAGAAGGAGAAAAATAATGTATTCATATACATCATCAACAATAGTGTTATTTTCATATTGCCAATGCGTAATTTATTCTATTATATAATATAATTATTGATAGATTAAAATTTTTTAAAATTATGTTGCGAATGATATAATAGTAATATCGGATTACCATCTAACAAAAATTTATAAAATAATATAGTTTTATAAACTTATATAGTTTCAAATTTTATCATATGTATATTTAAAATATTATTTTGTGCAGGAATTTTGGATAATGCAAAGTTGTTTACAAACTGCTACATTAAAAGATATTTGCCAGATGGAAGAAAACGTATTTGCTGTAAAAAATCATTCGAGAGTAATAAGGTAAAAACACGCAATACACAAAATATTTCAAATAAGTGTAAACATATTTTCCATTCATATTTTCCTAATTAAATATCGCAGGATGGAAAAGAAGAGGAATTAAAAAATAATTCTCAAAATTCGATACATTTTTTGTCATCATTAGTAAAACAAAGAAAGCAAGTGCGAAAATAATAATTTTAATTTTTTTATTTTCTCTCAGCCTTCCAAATTTTAATAAAAATCATTATTCTAAATAATAGTTAAATGCAAATAAAAACCAAAATGTATTATATAATGAAATATATTATAATAATGAAATATATTATATATTGTATGTACAAATCGTAACAAATGTAAAACATGCACGAATTGACTAGTAGAAATTAGATTTTAAGGATTGTCAATTATTGCATCACAAACAAAAATCATGCTAATTGAGAGATTTTATGAGATATTTTATTTTATTATTTTTGTTAACAATTTTAGGTACAAATATTAGTATTGTTTTATAAAAGTCTACAAACTACATTATATGTATGTTAATTTATATGAAAAATAGCTCAGAGAACGACATTGATATGATAAGAGAAAATATTGTCTATGAATGTGTATGAAAATTGTTATACATCAATAGTCTTTTGGATAGCAACACATATTTAATATCCAGTTAGTTGAATAGGTCTCCATAGCTATAGATTTGAGAGTGCAAAAAATTTATGGTGTTCAATATAAATAGCTAATCTGCCTTATGATCATAAATATTTGGATGTAATTTCTGATAAATGATTTCAAGTTTTTCATTGAAATAAATAGCTCTTCATTTACATAAATTAATTATAGTCACTGGTATATGATTTTTTTGCAAAGGAAACAAAAAATTTATTAAAATTTTATTTAATTATGTTAATTCATATTTTCAAATTATTAATTATTTGATCATGAATGATTATATTCGAGTTTCAAATCATATGCAAGAATATAGATTTAAATATTAAATCGATGTTAAATGCGTTCGTTAAATGTTATATGAAGGATATCATGGAATTGATTATGTAAGTAAACTTAAAAATTGTGTGCTTATCAGGAAATAAAAATTTATTTTCTTACAAAATCTTTTAAGTATTATATTTATCGGCGAATAAATTTGCAAACTCGAAAATTTACGTTCTTTCTTATCGCTTGATATAATTTTTTATTAAAAATCTCTATTTTCTTATGTTATTTTGAAAAAAAACTTTACAAAAAAATATTTGTTAAATATTTATTCTTCTTTATAATAACGTTCTTAATATAAAATTAAATTAAATTAAATTATGTATGGAAAAATTGGACGCTAAATCTATTTAAATTCTTGATTTCTTTTTTCCATTCACGAATAAACCAATGAACATGTTGCGAAATGTTTCGAAGTTTTTGGACAGAAATTAACAGGAAACGCACATCCAATGCTAATTTTACGATCCTTGCTTTGTTGTATATGTCTTGTGTCTTTTCAGCGATAAATTTAGCTGCTAAGAATGAATTTACATCATAATTACCGCTATAATAATCAACCATGACGTTACGTTATGTTTCGCAGATTTTAATGTTAATTGTCTGACTAACGTTTATCACAATAACCTTGCAGATTGCTATGTCTGCTAAAAAAAACAAATCTGATACGTATTATTAGAAAAACATAAGTACTTATTTTTTGCACAATACGTTACATATCTTATTGTGCTGTATATGATTTATTATCAAAATCTGTATTTATTAGTTACATTTTTTCACTTATATTGCTTCAATTTTTATTTATTCCTTCTTCTTTCTTGTTTTTTTTCTTCTTTCTAATGCTTATAAATGTAACTATTTCATGTTAAAATCAATTATGCTATGATACACTTATGTTAAAATAAAATAAATATTTAGTACTTGCAAAGAAACGGCATAAATAAATGTTATACAAATTACAATTAAAAAAATAGCTTTCATTATTCTGTACACAAGACTGTATGAATGATATCTCTTTTTTACAATTAACTATATTTGTCATTTCTCTACATTTTATCCTATTAAAATATGTTCCGTCCTCAAATATTAATATAAAATGGTATATATTTTTTTATTTTTAAAACATAAAGTTCAAACTGTATCATATTTTTAAAAATAGTTTTCAGTCAAAATTTACAGCCAAATAAAAGTATTACTTATATTATTTAAAAAAAAACTAATAAATTTTTAAATTAAAATAAATTAATGTAAGATATTGATATAAGAAGATAAAAATAAGATTTAAAAAATCATATATGTATACAAACAATACAAGTTTGTACAGATTATTAAATGTGTTAATATAATATATTATATAAATATATATTATACTATAGCTAAAAAGTATCACATTGTATTTAAAGAATTAAAGAAATTAATTCGGTGCATTGCCAATAAGAGAAACAATTATTTTATAATGTAATTTAAATGGTTGTGTATAAGTTTTTTGTTTATGTATATATATGTATATTTTTTATGATTATATATATATATACATATATATATTATATATATATTTTTATTATATTATATATATTATATATTTATTATATTATATATATATATATATTTGTATGATATATACATATATATACATATATATATATATATATATTATCATAAAAAATTATATCTACAATTAAATAAATAAATTTATAAATAAAAAATTTGTTATTCGTATAATATACGAATTTTGGGATCTGGATTGTTAAAACAAAGACAAAAAGAATATACATACATACATAAGAAATAAAAACTTGCAATTAAAAGTAATTTTAGTATCACACAAGAACAATAGAAATTTATAACAAATTTATATCAAATCCGATTTACTCTATTACACGTGATAAGTAGATAATTAATATAAATGAATACTTGGCCGTAATTTTTCTCTCTTTGCCGTAAAACTTTAATATATGTATATACACTAATTTCAAAATATTTTTTAATTTTTTATCATATCCTGATGAAATATCTAATGTTAATAATCTAATGTTTATAATTTCATTTTTATCAAAATGTTAAAAGAAATTATTTATGTATTAGAAAGTCCACTTGTCAATTAATAAAATTGAAATCATTTATGTCGTATTTTTATAGATAGTGGTATAATGGTAATAAATATTATGTCTATGTGAAAAAAATAGACAAGAAGGAAATTATTCCAAAACAGTATGTTATTATGATGTAAAAGAAATTTACTATTCTGCGTGATCAGTGAAATTATTCGTGAATTTATAACGATACGAAGGGGTTCTAATAGTATACACATTTAATATTTGGAAATGGTTGTGTTTCCATCAGTAATTGATCATATTCTTGTCGATAATCCCACAAGAAATTATTAACTACAACGAAAAAATTAATATTCATTTCACTAATATTTTCCATTTTGTTATTGTTATATATGAACTTCAAATCTTTAGCTACTAATTTAATAATGAAGATCAAGCAACTACGTATCTCTATTTCCTCTGTACTCCCATACTCCAACGGCTCGTCTACAAAAAATATAATACTTTATATTTCTATGATACAACAAATTCTCCATCATATAAAAATTAATTGTAGCAAAGAATATTTGGAAATTTTTATACAAACATTTTTATGTAAAAATAATATAACGATTCAGAATGGAAACATAGCTTGCAATTATATGAAATTTTCTCTAATAATAATAAAAATATAATTTAATTTTTATTTAGATTAATTGTATTTGTAACTTTATTTATTATATATTATTATTTTATTAAATGTATTATTTATTATGGCATTTTAAACACCGAGTCTAAAAAATATTTAATTTTCATTCATTGGAAGCACAATTCGTAAATTTGTAAATTAGAATTCTGAACTAAAAATTAAAGATTTGCATTTTTAAAGAATAACTTACTGTTTTCTAATTTGTTCATGAGTTTTGTACTATATTCAAGAAGTTTAAAATGACGAAGAATTTGAGAAACTCGAGAATCGACGAATATCATAGAATACATCACATCTATATTATAATCAAAACCGAGTTCATGTCCCTTAAAACAAACCCATATATCACTTAACAATATTTGAGCCTTAGTGTGTAGATAAACTGAAATTCAATGTAACGTCATTATATTATTAATTATCAAATATAATTTATAATACTTAAATCAATTAATTATAGGGATTAAATTATATCTGTGTATTTATCAATAGAAAACAAATGTAAAAAATATGTATCCATAAAAATTTTTTGTTGAAAATTTATTCTATTTACATTGGACAAATTTCGCGTCTTTATATTGGACCTTATATAATATAATATAATATATAATAGAGAATTTTAACTGATAGTTATATTAAAAGTATCAAATATTCAAATATTAATCTCAATGTAAATATAATTACAGAATAAATTATCATAAAAATCTTTTAAGATATACACAAATTTTAACATGCTCTTTCCAAGAGAGATACATACAAAATATATGTAAACTTAATACGACTTTATATGTTTGAATTTAAAATATTTTTATACACACATTTGGACGCTTAACGCAAATCTGCACACACGTATACATTATTACCTTTCAAGCAATATTTACCTTTCCCAGCATCTTTACATAATGGTGCATCGTTATATGATACGAATTCATGCACAATTAATTGTAACAATTTAACTGGATTGCGATTACATAATTGGATACATCGCATGAAACTACCTGTAATATAATTTATCGATTTTGTCAATTGCTATTTTTTTACCTATATAATTAAACCGTGATTCTGGATAAATATTCTTACATTATATTTATCCAGAATCGCAGTTTAATTATATAACTAATGTGTCTATTTATCTAATGTCTAATCTATTTCATATTACAGAATAAATAAAATTTGAAATAAAAAGTGTTTATTTTTGTATTGTTTAAGTATTTATTGCCAATATCTATTTCTCTACACACATAGAAAGAAATTTATTTTCATTAATTTTTCAATTTTCACATTTTTTGCACAACGTTTTATTTTGACTAATAAAACAATATAATAATAATAATAATTATTATTATTATTATTATTATTTTTTATAATCATACATGTAAAATATAAACTTTAGAAGTTATCTATTTTATTTTGTTAAAGAATCTGTCTTTCTATCTTCTAAAAAAAAAGAATAGTCTAACGAAATATATTACAATGAGCAAGCGAAAATATTGTTATAGTTTGCTTGGAAAAAATATGCTTTTTTTTAATATGCGCGTATAAAATTTTGTTGTAATAACTGATACCTTGAAATTTTCTCAACAAAACTGTTCCAACTTTATGCAAAATTTCAAGTCTTTCATGTATAAGTGGAATGTTAGTTTCTCCATCATCACTTTTAAAAATGTTTTCGAGACCATATCGTGTTAATTTTGTATAATATTTTGGATCCCATATTGGCCTATTGTTCTATCGTCAACATTATATATTATATTTTACAAATATTATAGCGAAAAGAAATTTAGAGAGAGAGAGAGAGAGAGAGAGAGAGAGAGAGAGAAAGAGAGAGAGATGAGTTTAAATATAACCAGTTTAGAAAATTCAAAATATAACAAAACTATAGATATTGAATTGATTACGAATTATTTTCACTGTATCGTATACTACTATACATTACTAAAAGTATTAGCCAATTATTTAAATTTGCGATTTCTATTCTAATCAATATAAGTAAAATAATTGTTCTAATTGAATTAAAATAATTTTCATAAAAAATATTTTTTATTCCAATTTGCACATGATTATTTAGTTTTTAAATTTTAGTTTACATATTTTTTGAATTGTTTGTATTTTAATTTACGAATCTTATGTATTTGTCATAAATATATTTGCTTAAAAAGTTTAAATCATAAAATTAAGAAAACATTAAAATTATTAAATGTGTAATGCAAATATTGCAAAGAAAAAAAACAACATAAATTATATTATATGCGTTAAATTATATTAACAATAATCCTGAATATAACGACATTAATGTGAGAAAATATTGATATCTACAAATATGTATCAAAATTAAATAATTATTATATTTACATCAATCGCTCTTTTGATAGCAGCACACAATGCTTGATATCCAGTTAATTGATTAACTGTCCATTGCTTGGTACCCTTTGGATTCCAGAGCGCAAAATTCATGGTATTCAACACAAATAACCAATCCGCTGCTCTATGATCGTACTTATCCGGATGATAATCTGATGTAAATCGCGACAAATGGTCTGATATTTCCTGAACTTCTCCAAACTGATTACTTTTAAACAAATAACTCTTTATCTACACAAATTAGTTGCAGTGTTATTATCAATGTGTGATTTTTTGCAATGGAAACGTACAAAGAATTTATTAAAATTTTATTTTAACTATAATAATAATTTACATTTTCAAATTTTTTGTTATTTGACGATGAATGCAATATATAAAATGAAATTAAATAAGTAAGTTGCTAGATTTTTTAAAATATTTGAATTTCAAATCATATACGAATAAAGATTTGAATATATTAAATGCATCGATATACATACAATAACATAAATGTTGCAGTAATGTACTATTGAGAATGTAAAGATTATAAGAAGATATGATAAAAATGTAGAATAAGATTGGGTAATTGCATAAAAGGAGCCTCCTCTCCGATTTGCTTTATTTTTAAATATGTTACAGGGGAGATCTTCCCGAGTAATTTCGTGTATATATATAAGGTTCGGACTCAAATAGTTTTAAAGATATAGGCTGAAAAGGATAAAAATAATAAATACAAAAATATTTTTAATAGAATATATGTATTTGTAAACTTTGCTTTGTCTTGCAAAGTACGCGCAGACACACCGCATGTTCCGCCCCCCCTTACGGGGGGGGAGGCTCCACTTTCGGAAGATATAATCTAATTCAATCCGTGTCTGAAGTGGAATGTACTTGGCTTCGCATAGAAAGTTACAAACTTATATGAACTATATAAACCATGTAAAGTGAAATGTCATATATCAAGATATTTTCTACACTTCAGACACAGGTTAGATTAGATCTTCCGAAAGTGGAGTTCCCCCGTAAGGGAAGTGGAACATGCGGTATCCTCGCATGCACCTCGCATATATTTTGCAAGAAAAAGTAAAGTTTACAAATACATATATTCTATTAAATATACTTCTTCTTAAACATATATGACATGGTAAAATTATAATATCTACATTTGCGACTTTTCACGCGAATTTTTGTATTTATTATTTTTATCCTTTTTCCTATAGCCTATATCTCCAAAATTATTTGAGTCCGACCCTTATATATATATATATATATATAAATATATATATATATATACTAATAAATTACTCGGAAAGTTCTATAACATATTTAAAAATAAAGCAAATCGAAGAGAAGTCCCTTTTATGCATTATCTAAGATTAATTATCTAAGATTGTTTTTGTAAAATCTTGTTCTTCTGAAAAAAATCAATTTCAAATTGTATAAAAATGTCGTTTTCTTTGTTTATTAATTTTTCTCTTTTTCTTATTTGAAAAATTACTTATTGTGTCATTAGCTTTCTCTCCGCAATATATTATCCATACAAAATAAAATTTGTTAAAAATGTACACGATTTTCTTTTTTCTTATGTCTTTCTTTACGATTTCATTCTTCAATCATATTCTACATCATGACATTTGAATTCCACTTTAGAGAAAAACCTCGTATTGAATTTTATCAAAACTGAATTTTGCTTTGAAAATTTGCAAGCAGATTAGAATATCGGGAATTAATTTGTAATTTTTCAGAGAAAGTGTATAAATAAACTCACCTCCCACGATATAGACTCCAGACCTTCTAAACAAATGGTAACGTCTTCCGCAATTTCACTGATATGTTCGATACGTTCCATAATTATGTTGTTTCACCAACCGTTTCAAATTGTTAACTGATTAGATTGCGATTACCTCCATGACAGTTTCATGCTCACGATAGAAAATAACAAAAGTCTGTGTTTATATTTGAAATATCTACGTTTATACTTCAAAATCCGTTAACGTGTCATTGCTAATACCTTATTACGTGCGTTATAATTTACCTTTAAAGTCTACGCCTATATTAAAATTTAAAAAAGAATACCGATTCTTTAGTAGAAAGTGTAAATAAATATTTTCTACTTTGCTTATATTCTCAAGATAGTGCAAATAATGTATTTTTTACATCTTTTATAAATCTTTTTATTCCATTTTTTTACTACTTTTGAGCCTAAAACTTTCCATCTATGATATTAAAATATACAGAACTCTCTTGATACAAAATAAAGCAATGATTTTTTGTCCTTATTGGTCAATTTAAACGCTATTATCCCAGACAGCAGATTTTTTAAAGCAATTTATAAAATTTTGTTAAAGTCCTAAATGCAAAACATTAGATAATGCAAACTTCATTTTATTATTTAAATCCGATTATATATTATATAAAGATAATAATATATATAACAAAATATATAATAATAAACACACACACAAATTATAATCTCTTTGATATTGAAAATATTATACTCTCTTTAAAAGAAAAAATTTATTAAATTGTTGAAATAAGCCATTAAATAATTTCTTAGTTTATTTTAATAAACTTTTCAATTATAAATTTATACACATATATGTATATATATATATATATATATATATATATGTATATATATATATATATATATATATATATATGGGTCTGTTCTTTTCAGCTGCACTGCTGCACTAAGTGCAATAAGTTAGAAAGAGACAAACATACTTTCTTTCACTCTAACTAATTGCACTAGTGCAGCAGTGCAGCTGAAAAGAACAGACCCTATATGTGTGTATGTGTATATATATATATGTGTGTGTATATATATATATGTATATATATATATATATATATGTTTGTGTGTTTGTGTGTGCGTTTATAAAATTAATAAAAACATCTCAAGATTATTTTCTTTCGATAATTAAATTATATATATATATAATTTAAATATCCAGGGAAATAATCTCTGGATGCTTTTATATATTAATTTGATAAATATTTTAATATCTATTTATTTAGAAAACTTTTATGGAATGTTATTTTAGAATCAAGATAAAATTTGTATTACAAATATATCATACATAAGGCCAGTTATGACATTATGAATAGCTTGTAGAAATAATGTTTCATTTCTGTGAGTTTGGAACACACAACTTATTTTCGGTCCAGAATAGAATCTATCGTTTGACCACCACAAATCTTTATCTATGATCTCTTCTTTCTAATGCTTACAAATGTAACTATTTCATATTAAAATCACTTATGCTATGATACACATGCTAAGACAAAAAATAAATATGCATTCAGTATTTATAAAAAAACGGCATAAATAAATGTTATAGAAATTACAACTGAAGAAATAGCTTTTCATATTCTGTACACAAGACCGTATGAATGAATCTTTTTCTTATAATTAGCTGAATTTATCACTTTTCTTCATTTTATCCTATTGAAATATTTCGTTCTCAAATATTAATATAAAATAGTATATATTTATTTATTCTTGTAAAACATAAAGTTCAAAAGGTGTCATAAGTGTCTATTTATAAAAATAGCTTTCAGTCAAAATTTACAACCAAATAAAAGTATTACTTATATTATTTTAAAAAAACTAATAAATTTTTAATTTAAAATAAATTAATATAAGATATAGATATAAGAAGAGAAAAATAAGATTTAGAAAGCATATATATATATATATATATATATATATATATATAAATGTGTTATACAGATTATTATATGTGATAAAATAATATATTACATAATTAATTATATATTACTATATCTAAAATAATAAGTATCACATTGTATTTAAATAATTAAAGAAATTAATTTGACGTGTTGCCAATAAGAGAAACATTTATTTTATAATGTAATTAATGATTTTGCATAAGTTTTGTATATTATCATAAACAATTATATTTATAATTAAATAAATAAATTTATAAAGAAAAAATTTATTATTCGTATAATATACGAATTTTGGTTCTGGATTTTTGGATCTGAATTGTTAAAACAAAGACGTTAAACAAGGACAAAAAGAATATACAATAATAATAAAAATAATAAGAAATAAAAACTTGCAAAATTAAAAATAATTTTAATATCACACAAAAACAATAGAGAAATCTACAACAAATTTATACTAAATCATTTATTCTATTATACGTGTTAAGAGTAGATAATTAATATAAATGAATATTTGGCCGTATTTTTCTCTTTTTGCAATAAAACTCTAATATATGTATATAAACTAATTTCAAAATATTTTTTTCATTTTTTATCATATATTGATAAAATATCTAATATTTATAATTTCATTTTTATTAGAATTAAACTTTTATTAGAGTTAAAAGAAATTATTTATGTATTAGAAAGTCCACTTGTCAATTGATAAAATTGGAATCACTTATGTCATATTTTTATAGGTAGTGATATAATAGTAAAAAATATTATGTCTATGTGACAAAAACAAACAAGAAGGAAATTATTCCAAAACGTACGTTATTATGATATAAAAGAAATTTACTATTCTCCGTGATCAAATTATCCATGATGAAATTATTCGTGAATTTATAACGATACGAAGGGATTCTAATAGTATACACATTTAATATTTGGAAATGATTGTGTCTCCATCAGTAATTGATCGTATGTTTGTAGATAATCCCACAAGAAATTATTAATTAGAATGAAAAAATTAATATTCGTTTCACTAATATTTTTTATTTTCCACTTGCGATATATTTTTTGTATTTCTTCAGCTAGTGATTTAATAACGCAGATTGAGAAAATACGTATCTCTATTTCCTCTGTACTCCCGTACTTCAACGGTTCGTCTACAAAAATAAATTTTAGACAAAAAATATAATATTTTATGTCTATGATACAACAAATTCTCCATATAAAAATTAATTGTAGCAAAGAATATTTAGAAATATTTATGTAATATGTAAAGATGACATAACGTGAGAACATAGCTTGCAATTGTATGAAATTTTCTCTAACAATAATAATAAAAATATAATCTAATTTTTATTTGAGTTAATTATATTTTTAATTTTATTTATTATATATTTATTATATATTATTATATTATTAATTATATTTATTATGGCATTTTAAACACAGAATCTAAAAAATATTTAATTTTCATACATTGGAAGCACAATTCGTAAATTTGTAAATTAGAATTCTGATCTAAAAATTATTTTAGTTCGTTTTTAAAGAATAACTTACTGTTTTCTAATTTGTTCATGAGTTCCGTACTATATTTAAGAAGTTTAAAATGACGAAGAATTTGAGAAACTCGAGCATCGACGAATATTATAGAACACATCACATTTATATTATAATTAAAACCGAGTTCGTGTCCCTTAAAACAAACCCATATATCACTTAGCAATATCTGAGCCTTGGTGTATAGATCAACTGAAATTAAGTTCAATAAAAACGTCATTATATTATTAATTTTGAAATATAATATACAATATAGTACTTAAATCAATTAGTTATAGAGATTAAATTATATCTGTGTATGTACCAATGGAAAACAAATGTAAAAAGTATGTGTCCATAAAAATTTTTTGTTAAAAATTTATTTTATTTATTTTGGAACAAATTTCGTGCTTTTATATTGGACCTTGTATAATATAATGTAATATAATAGAAAATTCTATTTATATATAATAGTAATATAATAGAGAGTTGATACTTACATAAGAGTATCAAATATTTTCAAATATTAATCCCAATATAAATATAATCACAGAATAAATTATCATAAAAATCTTTCAACATATACACAAACTTTAACATGATTTTTTCAAGATACATACAAAATATATGTAAACTTAATACGATTTTGATATTGTTTGAATTTAAAATTTTTTTATGCACACATAAGGACGCTCAACGTAAATCTGCACACACGTATACATGCATATATATATTATTACCTTTCAAGCAATATTACCTTTCTTACCATCATATAATGGTGCGTCATTATATGATACGAATTCACACACAATTAATCCTAACAATTTAAGTGGATCGCGATTACATAATTGGATACATCGAATGAAACTACCTATAACATAATTTATCATATCGATTTTGTCAATTATATTTATCCAGAACCACTGTTTAATTATATAACTAATGTATCTATTTATCTAATGTCTAATCTATTTCATATTACAGAATAAATAAAATTTGAAATAAAAGTGTTTATTTTTGTATTGTTTAAATATTTATTGCCAATATCTATTTCTCTACACACATAGACAGAAATTTATTTTCATTAATTTTCCAATTTTCACATTTTTTGCACGCCGTTTTATTTTGACTAATAAAACAATATAATAATAATAATAATAGTTATTATTATTATTATTATTATTATTTATAATCATACATGTAAAATATAAACTTTAAAAGTTATCTATTTTATTCTGTTAAAGAATCTGTCTTTCTATCGTCTAAAAAAAAAGAATAGTCTAACGAAATATATTACATTGAGCAAACGAAAATATTGTTATTGTTTGCTTGGAAAAAATATGCTTTTCTTTAAATATGCGCGTATAAAATTTTGTTGTAATAACTTTTACCTTGAAATTTTCTCAACAAAACTGTTCCAACTTCATGCAAAATTTCAAGTCTTTCATGTATAAGTGGAATGTTAGTTTCTCCATCATCACTTTTAAAAATGTTTTCGAGATTATATCGTGTTAATTTTATATAATATTTTGAATCCCATATTGGCATATTGTTCTATCGCCAACATTATATATTATATTTTACAAATATTATAGCGAAAAGAAATTTAGATGAGTTTAAATATAACCAGTTTAGAAAATTCAAAATATAACAAAACTATAGACATTGAATTGATTACGAATTATTTTCACTGTACCGTATACTATTATACATTAAAACTATTAGCCAATTATTTCAATTTGCGATTTCTAATCAATATAAGTAAAATAATTGTTTTAATTTAATTAAAATAAATTTCATAAAAAATATTTTTTATTTCAATTTGCACATGATTATTTAGTTTTTAAATTTTAGTTTACATATTTTTTGAATTGTTTGTATTTTAATTTACGAATCTTATGTATTTGTCATAAATATATTTGTTTAAAAAGTTTAAATCATAAAATTAAGAAAACATTAAAATTATTAAATGTGTAATGCAAATATTGCAAGCTAAGAAAAAAAACAACATAAATTATATTATATGCGTCAAATTATATTAACAATAATCCTGAATATAACGACATTAATGTAAGAAAATATTGATATCTACAAATATGTATCAAAATTAAATAATTATTGTATTTACATCAATCGCTCTTTTGATAGCAGCACACAATGCTTGATATCCAGTTAATTTATTAACTGTCCATTGTTTGGTACCCTTTGGATTCCGGAGAGCAAAATTCATGGTATTCAACACAAATAACCAATCCGCTGCTCTATGATCGTACTTATCCGGATGATAATCTGATATAAATCGCGACAAATGGTCTGATATTTCCTGAACTTCTCCAAATTGATTACTTTTAAACAAATAGCTCTTTAGCTACACAAATTAGTTGCAGTATTATCAATATGTGATTTTTTGGAATGAAAACGTACAAAAAATTTATTAAAATTTTATTTTAACTATAATAATAATTTATATTCTCAAATATTTTGTTATTTGACGATGAATAAAATAAAATAAAATGAAGTAAGATTAAATTGCTAGATTTTTTCAAATATTTGAGTTTTAAATCATATACGAGTAAAGATTTGAATATTAAACACGATCCATACATATACAGTGACAAAATAATGTTGTAATAATGTATTATTAAATATGTGAAGTATGAAATATGAAAAATATGATATGAAAAAAATATAGAATAATTGTTTTTGTAAAATCTTGTTCTTCTGAAAAAAATCAATTTCAAATTTTATAAAAATATCGTTTTCTTTATTTTATAAAAATATCGTTTATTAATATTTCTCTTTTTATTATTTAAAAAAATACTTATTGTGTCATTAGCTTTCTCTCCGCAATATATTATCCATACAAAATAAAATTTGTTAAAAATGTACACGATTTTCTTTTTTCTTATGTCTTTCTTTATGATCTTCTTCATTTATCGATCATATTCTACATCATGATATTTGAATTCTATTTTAGAGAGAAACCTCGTATTGAATTTTATCAAACTAAATTTTCGAAAATTTGCAAGCAGATTAGAATGTCGGGAAGTATTCTGTAATTTTTCAAAGTGTATAAATAAACTCACCTCCCACAATATAGGCTCTATACCTTCTAAACAAAGCTTAACGTCTTTCGAAATTTTAATGATATGTTCCATAATTATATTTCGCCAACCGTTTTAAATTGTTAACTGATTAGCTTGCGATTAACTCGATGATAGTTTCATGCTCGCGATAGAAAATAATAAAAAGTCTGTGTTTATATTTGAAATATCTATGTTTACACTTGAAAATTCGTTACCGCGTCATTGCTAGTACTTTATTACGCGCGTTATAATTTATCTTTGAAGTTTACGCCTGCCATTAAAATGTAAAAAAGAATACCAGCTCTTTAGCAGAAAGTGTAAATAAATATTTTCTATTTTGTTTATATTCTCAAGATAGCGCAAATAATGTATTTTTTAATTACATCTTTTATAAACCTTTTTATTCCATATTTTGCTACTTTTGAGCCTAAAACTTTTCATTCATAATATTAAAACACACAGAACTCTCTTGAAACAAAATAAAGCAACGATTTTTTGTCCTTTTTGATCAATTTAAACGCTTATCCCAGACAGCAGATTTTTTAACGCAATTTTAAAAAACTCTGTTAAATTCTTAAATGCAAAACTTTATAATGTAGATTTCATCTTATTATTTAAATCAGATTATATATTATATGAAGATAATAAAGATATATAATAAAATCATAGACGTAGAATACATCTCTTTATGAATAAAATATAATATAAAAATAATATAATAATAAACATATACTCCCTTTACAAGGAAAAATTTATTAAATTGTTTAAATAAGGCATTACGTGATTTATTTTAATAAACTTTTCAATGATAAATTTATGCATACATATATATGTATGTATATAAAATTAATGAAAACAAAGATTATTTCGTCTCGATAATTAAATTATATATATATATATATATATATATATATATATATATATATATATATAAACATCTAGGAGAATAATCTCTAGATGCTTTCATTAATTTGAGAAATATTTTAATATCTACTTATTTAGAAAACTTTTATGGAATGTTTATTTTAGCATAGGATCAAGATAAAATTTTTATTACAAATATTTCATACATGAGGCCAGTTATGGCATTATGAATAATTTGTAGAAATAATGTTTCATTTTTCTGTGAGTTTAGAACACACAACTTATTTTCGGTCCAGAATAGGATCTATCGTTTGACCACCACAAATCTGTCCCCATCCGATCAGACGCCAATGTTTCTCTACGCGCCTGGATAGTGCAATTTTCTCATCAATCTCCGTGCAAACCGGATTCGTCAAGCTAATTTTCGCTAAATCGGCACGAGTAGCCAATACTCTACCACCGGTGCTTAACGATCCAATATTTACTAACAATACTTCTCCCCGTGACAATTTCGGTACCTATAACGTCAACGAAATATTTATGTAATAAAAAATAATTTTAATTTCAAATAAAACAAGCATAATTTTAAGGAAAAACAAAGTTATATCTTTTTAAAACTATATATTATGTTCTACACAATATTATATGTATTATTAAGATTTTTCACAACAAATCTATATATATATATATAGGGTGAGTTTTATTTCGTGTGTCAATCTTTTTATAATGCGGGAGATTATCGACTGCATAATAAATTGATCGATACATAAATGTCAATTATTTGGATCGACCGTATCAAAGGCTCAAATATGTGTAAAATTAAAGCAAATTAAAAGCTGCACTTATGTAGTATGGATTTATTATTATTATTATTAAAGTTACGTATTTATTATTATTATTATTATTATTATTATTATTGTACACATTATATTCGGATCTTTGATACGGTCGATCAAAAAATTGATATTTATGCCGATCAATTTATTATGCAGTCGATAATCTCGCGCATGATAAAAAGATTGATACACGAAATAAAACTCACCCTGTATAAAAGAAATATTGAAATATTAAAATTTATAGCTTACAAATTATTGCAATAGAACTAAGATTTTATAATATAATTTTAATTAAAAATAAAACCTCACAACCTGGTTTATTCACGTCGAAAGATCGAATAACAATCAATAAAAAAAATTATTCTAAATCATGTGATTGGTTTCAGAGAAGTGAATGTTAATTTTGGAAATTTGATAATATAGATTTTCTATATTGTATAAACTATTAATAGACTTACTCTTGCTCCCTTCTTGTCACCCTCAGTTCTTACGCCCAACAAACGTTTGAGTAGATAATACGAAATTTCCAGTTCGATAAATATTTGTGGCAATGCGCCGACACTTCCAAGAATTTGGCCGACTAGACGATCAGCACGACACAATGTAGGTTCGATTTTAGTTCCAACACCTTAAAATGACATATGAAATCCCTTTAGGATTGTTTATCATGCTGAGATATTATTTATACTAGATCAATTAATAATGCAAACATATACAAAATATTACTTACCTATTAAACCACCTGGTACAGCGAATTGCAGTTCATTCTGTTCGGCGAACAGAGATACGATACGTGAGAATATCGGACGACAAGTCAACTTGCCCTCGCTGTCCTTAGACACCAATCCTGGACGAACTTCAATTTCCATGCCGACCTAAAAAAAAACTATGATATTTAGGATACGTTTGAAACATACATACATATATTTCGTTTGAAGATATCTAGCTTTATCATTACTTTTAATACTCCTCTAAGAATACTACCACCAGCTACGCCGCCCTTTAAGTCGTCTACCTCACAACCTGGTTTATTCACGTCGAAAGATCGAATAACAATCAATCGTGGTTCTGATGTAAAATCTCTCATTGGTACTGGGATTTTCTTTGTAATGTATTCGCAGAGTACTTCAATGTTGTACTTGAGTTGTGCTGAAATCGGTATTATCGGTGCGCCTTCTGCTACAGTACCTGATTTAAAATAAATTACATATGTGCAAACATAAAATATAAAATATAAGTAACTTCTATTAATTTTTTTTAAATAGAAAATATTTATAAATAGAAAATATTTGTCAAATTATGATAATTTTATAAATCCTAATTTGTAATCTGGATTTTATATAAATATATTTTATATAAATATGAATTTTGCGAATATAAAAACTTTAATTTTACATTGAGAAACAGTATAAATAATGGCAAATAATTAGCACCTTGAATAAATTTCAAAATTTGCTCATACTGCTCTTTTGCTTGCGCTTCTTTGACCAAGTCGATCTTGTTTTGCAAGATGACTATGTGTTTCAGTTTCATAATTTCAATAGCCGCCAAGTGCTCCGATGTTTGGGGTTGCGGACATGACTCGTTACCAGCTGCAATTCAAAAGGTCATTATTCGAAAAAATATTGAAAAACGAGACAATTTGATAAGAATAAGTTAAAATAATATCTAAATCCTTTACCGATTAAAAGTAAGGCGGCATCCATAACAGCCGCTCCGTTGAGCATAGTTGCCATAAGAATATCGTGTCCAGGACAATCAACGAAGGAGACATGACGAACCAACTGGAATCTCCCAGAACAAACTGGGCGCAAACAAGGGAAGGAATCATCTTTACTAGATCCACCGGATATATAACGTCCCGGTCGGGGACACTTTGGATTTTCGCATTCGTAAATCTTGGCATTTGCATATCCTGAAAAAAGAAGAGCAATTAGATAATAATTCACATTTCTCCTGAATTCATTTCCTTTTATCTTCTTTTTTGTCGTGAGAGTTTATTATGCAAAAAAAACTGCTCAAGTATGCTGTTATTCATCGACGTCTGAAATAAATTTAATATCTTTGTCTGTGAATTGATAATTTTAATTTCCTAATTTAATATCCTATTTTAATATTCCAAATTTAATATTAAATATTCAAAGATGTATATACACATGTATAACAAAATTTTTTTAAGTATGTCTTCTATGATTTTCTATCTCTTGTAATTTTTTTATTTTTCTAGATTCATTAGAAAAAGTTTATTTTATCTTTATAAAAATTCTTAAATTCAAATTATATAATATATATATTACATTCTATTATCAAAATATTCTTAATTTTCATTTTCACATTTATAGATGTAAAAATAGATGACATATAAATTTTTTAAAAAATAATCTAACTAATATCAAAAGAACGTTACGCTAATTTGCCTCGTGTAAATCTTTATTTCAATTTTATTGACAACAATGACAAATGTATTAGTCTTATAGAATATACGATTTTAATTGGCTATTTTGGTTTTCTAATATCGATAGACCATTGACATATGTATAAATAGAGTAATTTCATTGAGAGTAATTTCAGCGTTTCGCATGAAAAGATATAACAAAATAATAATTGGTAAGTCTTTTGTGAATGAAGAAATTAAAGCGACAGATATTTGACACATATATATCTTGAAATAGAACCCGAAATGCTGACGACATACAACTGAAAGATAATAATTTATTTCTAATGAGCACAGTGTGTATACAAGTGTCGACCCTTTACGTTTCAAGCAAAAAAGAAGAAAAAAAGAATACGAAATAACATAAATTTTTATTATTTATAATTACTATTGAAATAATTGTATATCTAATAACAATTAACTTTGTGAACTGTGTGTGAACAGAATCATTTCAACTATGTATGTGGTTTTATATGCTAATTATTATGTATTGATAAATATTTATAATAAACTTAATATTTATAAGGTATTAATATTTATAAAATAGTTTGTACATACATATATAAACAAAACTGTCATCTTCTTAATTTGATTGAATGCCTCTTTAATTTGCTACAGATTTGTTTGGCACATCTTGTAATATGTGTATATATGTGATAAAACTTTTAATTATAAAAGATCCACGTATATGTTTTTGTTTAGGAAGGGGGAGACGGATTAAGCACGTTACATAAATAATAAATTTTAATTTTGAATGCAAAGAGTCGACTCCTATTACATCAATCTTAAATATCTTTAGATTCTCTAATGATTTGTAGTAAAAATACTATATTATTATACAATATAATTTATATAATATAATCGAAAATACGCGTTTTTTCGGAATAAAAATAAAATATTTTTTTTTTGCTTATAATATCAAATTGTATTTTACCAATGAATTTACATATCAATTTGGATGCGTTGAATTTATTTGGAGTCAATCAATCTCTCTCTTTATCCTATAACTACCGCAATAAAAATTATAATAATTATTGCTCCTTCGCAAATTAATAAGTAATGTTAGTTATGAATATAAAAGCAATAAATATGTTAATAGAAACTATAATTTACAAGATTATAACGATATTATTATATATACGATATTAATATACTAATGAACACCGAGACGTCCTGTGTGCATCAATCTTGGCGTTTTCATTGTAGCATCTTGTTTTTTAGATGAGAATAATTCAAACTTGTAGCCTCTCTTGTCATATAACTTTTGAGACAAAGACGTTGTGCTTTGCATATTTTTTTTTAAATACTTATAACGGAATCTATTAATATATTTAAAAGCTTTAATAATCGAAATCTTAGCTTTCTCTGAAAGCTCTTCGATTGAAAAATACTCTCTGCAAAATTAGCACATCTGAAATAATATATATAAATGTACACGCGCGCGAGAAGTATAAACTCATACTCTCCAAAAAGATGAAAACTAAATAAGAAGGAAAATGAAAAACTAACAAGTAATTTTTTTTGGTCGGATATTGTCTTCTTATACAATACCGTTGCTTTATATAATAAAAGGAGAAATGCGAATTTTTACCCCACGCGTTTATGTTCACTTTTGTACAATTAGCTGAGTATAAAAAATAAACATAGACGTATTAAAACAAAACCACACAAACGCAACTTTGTCATACTCTTTCATAACAATTTTCAACATATTCAAGAAACTCAACGTTATTAAATATTAATTAGGTCAGTCAAAAAGTTTAACCATTACTTTCGATACTACAAAACTTTGTATGCATCTAAAATAAGTATAATCGTTTCTATATATTATTGTGAAGCTAAAGTCTTTATCTGTCTTCATTTTTTTGCCTGGAATTAATTTACTTTATTGGTATTTATGCGCAGTATCTATTCATTGAACAAATATCGAAAGAATGCACATTTGCATAATATTGTATCAGTCAAGTTTAGATGAAATGTAAATATTTTCATTATACAAATAGTACTATTCTCAAACGCATACTTATAATGTCATATATCAATCAAGTTTAGATAAAATGTAGATATTTTCATCATAAGCAGTATTATTATCAAATGCACATTTGTAAAGTTTATAAGGAGATTGCTGTCATTGTTAAAACAATTGGAAATTTTACGGAAAATATTACAGAAAAATATTAAATATAAGATTTAGACATGATTTCTTAATTTAAAAGATAAATCGCAACATTATGGATCGGAACTTTATCGTTTTTTTGTTTGGTTTATTGAATAAGGATACATTTTAGAGCGATTAATGACTAGCGACAAAAAGTCGATCGTACAAAAACGTTGTAAAAAAATAGAAATGGAAACAAATAAGATAAACTCGACTGGCCTGGCTGATCTAAATGAAAAGCTGATTTTACACTTTCAGAAGATGTGATACTGCCTGTATACAAAAAATTAGGGCTATACAAATAAAAATCGGATCAAACTTTTTAACTGACCCAATATTTGACAATAATTCGCTTGAGACATCCATTTAAGATGTATTCGCAAATCATTGACAAAATATATAATACAATGAAATATACAATAATAGCATCTTTGAAATGTCTTATATCTAGTTTCCATCTTTTTCTCCTACTTTCCTCAAAGATTTTAAATCAAAAAATTGTTTGATTATTAAAAAATTGCCTAATTAATTATACAATCAAACTTTTTTATTTTTAATACATTGAACCGAATAATTTTTCTTTCTTTTTCTTAACACTGTCCCTCTATAGTTTCATCGAATATATGCAAAGTGATTTTTATATTCAATATTAACTGCAAATAATAAAAAAAATTAACGGCAAATAATAAGAAAAGTTTTACATCCAGTGGCAAATAATAATAATAAGGAACTAATGCTAAATAATTAAGTATGCAAAACAATATAGAAGTTTTAAGAAATTGACTGTATGAACACGCAGTAATTACACTCGTAACTCTGTTATAATTGTTTACAATCTGTCTACAATTTGAATAAACGTTGCAATTTTATGAGATAATAAAACTAGTCACTTACGATCCTTGAGTTGTTTAAAATATCTCGCTTTGCTGTATAATACGTATAATATTACTATATAACTCAATTCGAAAACAAAAACTGAATTTGTAAACATAATTAATAAAATATTTCAAATTATTTGACCGAGTAATAAGATTATTTAATTGAATTATCCTTAAATTAATTAGTCCTAAATTATAATTATTGCCAGCTCGATAATATATACAGGAAAAAAAATTGGCTTAATCAGAGCCAGCATCAATTAAGCCACGTAACTGCCAATTGCAAGCAGACTGTAACGTACACTTCGAGAAGAAACATTGTCTAAAATAAATACCGCCGACATGTCGCCGCGCCGCATTTGCAGAGAGTTCTATTCTTCGAGACATTTCCGGCGTCCTGTTCGTTGTCCAGTGGTTGCTGTTGCATCTTCTCATTACCGCCGCGCGGTGTCTGGCACGTATAGTCAAAAGTGAGCTCCTCGTTCTGCTTAATATCCTTGATGGCGAAGAGCGCGAGATTTGGTAAGTTCGGATCTAGACAATTGATCCAGATCGCGTATACCGCGAGATTTGGATCACACGAGTGATTAATGAAGTGCGAGATATTGCCATACATAGCGGCGTCTACAGTGTATGGGCACTGGCCATCAGTCTCGTTGTAATCGAGATCAAAGAGGTACGTACGACCAGTCGCGTCGTATTGTTTGCCACGTCTTTCCGCTTCTTCATTGCTGATCACTTCGCCCACGTACTGGATGACGAAGGTGCCTTTCTTGATCGCTCGCAGAGTACGCACACCCCAACCGCGACCGTTATTCGTGCGAAAGATGCACACTTGCGTATCACTACCACGTTGCACCACACGATTCGGACAAGTTAACGCGTCGCAGGCGCAACGTTTGTTGCATTCGTAGATAGGTGTACCGGGAGGGACACGGACTCGACATGCTGACGTATACGGCAACGAAGATACGCCGTTTTGTGCGAAGCAGCAAGATTTCTTACCGGTCTCGCAATTGTCGCACTCGCAACCGATGGGCGGATCATCTGGTATTATGACACTCGCGCCCGGCAAATAACTGTCGATGTAATAAAAATCCTGAGGTGCACCCTCCAGATCCACCAGATTCTCCACCCGTATTGTCGGCTTATTTTTCGTGATACTGTTCATCTCATTCTCCCAGTCTTGCAGCGATTCGAGTTGATCGCGCCGCAACTCGAGCAGAAGCATGTACAGGATCTGCTGTTTTATCTTTGTTTCCAGTTTGCTGCCATGCGACGATTTATTCAAATATTGGCGAATCTCTATGTATATACTGTCATCGGCAACAGTGGTAGAGGCAACGGATGTAACATCATCGATCGATATGTCCTTATATAATAATTGCGCAACAAGAAAGTCCTCGACGTCGCGCGTATTTGGATAAAAGTTCGTCTTCGCTTTGAACCGGTTAATCAATTTCTGCCGTTTGTTCTCAAATTCACGCAGCAAATTTTCGCAATTAGTTAGATTGCGCGACGGCTCCCACGTATTGTACTTGATATCCCAGTTCTTCCACTTGATCAAATAGAACGTTTCACTGTTCTTTTCCTGCTTCTGTATAATCCTCTCCACTTCCCAGAGCTTGCTCGTCTGACTGCTAGATGCGGAGGAGGATTTACCGGGTATTGTTAATTCACGATTGTTTTCGCTGTTCTTAATATCATGCAACAACACTCGTACCTCTTTCAGATCGAAGTCGCGGGAAATCAGACTATCATCTCGTGCGGACGATCTACCGTCAGACGATGATTCTTCATAGTCGGACTGTCGGCCATCGCTACCTGGATCTCTTACATTTCTGTTACGTAAACGAGGACGGCCGTCGTGTGCTTCGAGCGCCTGTTGCGTGATGATTCCTCGCCGCGTTCGCAGACGCTTCGATGATGACGCAAAGTGAAATGTATGCTTGTTGTTCAGTCGATTGTTCAGGGATATCGTGTTGCAGCTCTCTGTGTCGATCTCTCTGAGTCTGGACTGCTTGGCGCATGGCGCGTCAATGCTTCCAACAGGGGAGAGGTGTCGTTTATGGTAAACGACCGGCGTTTTGTTATCTATCCTGCCGGGTATATCTGCTGATTTGCTGCTGCTACCGCAATCCACTGCGTCTGCAATGCCAAACATTTAAACAGCGTCATTGTTTCATCTTTCTTTCGTTTCCTTTTTTTTTATTCGTACGACCACTCTCCCCTTTCTCCCATTTTTCTTTTCCTTATATCTGTTTTTATTTCCATTTTCGCTTTTGTTCTCCTCAAAATTTCTTTTCACTTTTTTTTTGCGACATGCCGGAAAATAGCAATAAATAACACGAGGCTGCCATATTATTGGTTCCGATTGAATGGTATATAATAGTGACAGCATATAGAATTCTAATATCTTCTGAAGAGATATTAGATTTTGCATCCTACTCACAGCTCCAAAGATTACAAAAACGTCAAAGATTTTGACATTTGCACATTTGGCATATCTATTTTTCTACCAAAACACATTGCATATTGCATTGCAATTTACATTTTGACAAAATATATAAAATGTAAATTTTCATGACACAATTATCATATAAAATATCTATATAAAAAAGTCGCTTAAATAATTTATTACAAATAAATTCCACAAATATACACAATAATATATAACGACAATAGATACAAACGTTATGGATATACAGAAAGTTATGTAATAATCGCCTAAGTCTCTCGTGTACAAGTAGAGTGGGTTAAAGTGATAGAGGACTTTCCTACTAAGTTTAACCCGTTCTACCTGCACACGAGAGACTTAGGGGATTACTAATATAACATCCTGCATATAAATTAGTACTGGACTATATTAATATAGCGGGTTTTTATATGCTACAATATTAATGTTAAATGCTGAAGAAATTAAGTACATTTATGAATAGAAATAAATAGCAAGAGATCATAAATAACATATTTTGAAAATATATCTTATTATTTTAAAGCAAAAAGCAATTTAATGTGTATAATTATATTTGTGTAATTTTAATTGCATGCTTCTCTTTAAAATGTTAATTAATTTTTAATTGTTGCAGTATGAAAATAATACTTACCTTTATTATTTCAATTTTTTTACACATATTAAAAAAAAAGAGAAAAGGACACTTTAAAATTTAATCAAAATGACTGCTCTTAATAACTGAATAATTTGATCATTTGATTATTTGATCATTATAACAATAATCAATAATATATCTTAATCTATAAAATCATCATTTTACCAAATCTTATATTATTATTTACTTCTTTATCCATTTGTATAATAAAATAAACCACTATAAAAATATTTTCACAAAGGCATTTCTAAAGATATATTTTGCAAAATTTTCTTTATATCAAATTAAAAGAATTACAATATATAATGAAAAAATATATTTAAATGTACTCACCGAGTTTAATGGTAATATTTCTTTCTAGTTCATTTTTAAAACGAACAGTCTGCACTCCTGAAATAGCTTTTACAATTGTCGATTTTCCATGTGCTACGTGCCCAATGGTACCTGTAACAAATTTGTATATTTCTAAGAAAAATATATATATATAAATAACATAACATATCAATTTTTATTTTAAAATAATATATATATTAAAATACACATTAAACTTGAAATATTTAAATTTTTATATACTCACCAATATTGATTGTAGCTTGCCTGCTGATCACCTCACGTGACAATGCAGTTAATTTACTAACATCCTATACAAAATCAAAAAATACATTAGTTTCTTAATGATATACCAACAATATTTTGCAACATCAATCACACATACATTAGTTTCTTAATGATATACCAACAATATTTTGCAACATCAATCAAAATCAATTAAATCACTTAGGATATTTTCATCATTAATTTTCTAATCTGTAAATATATTTCTCTAATACAGATATAGAAATGTAAAGTAAAAAATTAATTTTTGTCTTTATAATTTACAAATAATATAGAAAAGAATAATTAAATCTAAGATTATATTATAAAGATATCACAGATTTTTATTAATAATTTTGTATTAAATAACTTAAAAACTATTATTATTTCAACATTTTTGCGAAGAAATTAATGGCGTAAATTGCAGATTGTAAATTGAAATTTTTATGTTGTTAATTGATTTAAATCAACGAGATTAATTTTTGGTTTTTGTATATATAATATTTGAAATAAAAGCAACCAATTATTCCATTTACTATTCACTGTATTATCTACAATAATAAATTGCATACATATATATATCGATCTTAACATACGCCATCGCATATTTTCTTTCCCGCGCATTTTTTTATTTTTTATTAATATCTGCCTGCACTTTGTGGAAATGCGTTAATCTGCATCTGAATAGGACAAGCCCTTGGGATGATAATACGCGAACTATTTTGCACTTTTCCTCTCTTTTTAAAGAAAATTGTTATAAGTTTGAGTTCACGGTACTTATGGTAAAAAAAAATCTTTTCCGATACACACACACATATATATATATATATATATATATACGTATGTATATATAAATGAGTCAAGTGTCCGGACGAATCGTATGTCGTGAAAAAAAACGAGGTTAAATGGGCGAGTGCGAATTGACGCGGCGCGAACCATTGTCAAGACTCACGAGTTTCGACAGGTCTTGCTTGTAGAGATTCGGCTGGCCGGTGGTAACACCCAGTCCTTCTTCGCCGCCCATCTTTTGCTCCTCTCGATCAGCGATAACCAGCGTGATAATATTACGTGGATACGGCCACTCGCGACTTGGCCTGTTCGGTTTAAGAAAATGCCAGAAGACCAAGTGACTCGGTCAACGACTCCGATCGCGACGAGGATCGCGCCAGCGCCAGCGCGGCGTGCACAACTGCTTGTTCTGTCGACTTCAGCGACGAATCGCGATTGGTGGATTCTTTCGTTTGGTGCCCGTCTTATGCGGCGTCTACAATGAGAAGAAATTGACCAATCACAGTCAAGTATTCTCTTAATACTTGACTGTGATTGGTCAATTTCTTAAGTCTCTTTAAAATCTCATTGTAAACGCCGCTTTAGGCCGTGTCTACAATAGGTAATTTAAGCCTTAAGAGATTGACCAATCACAGTCAAGTATGAAAAGAATAATTGAATACGATTGGTTAATTTCTTACGACTCCGTCACTTAAAGAAAAGTGTGGATCAAGCAATTTATTTCTTATAATTATACATTATATTCTAAATAAATAATATAATTATATATTATATTATTTCTTATAATTATATATTAATTATATATTTTTTATATTATATATATATATATATATATATATATATATATATATATATATATCTCGTCCAAGCTAAATTTATTGCATTACCTACACATTATTTTACTCATTACTTGTTAGTTTTATATATCAGACGTGGATAATTTTTATTTTTTAATTTATATAGAATTTTTTATTGCATAACAGGACACATATAACGTATATTTTATTGAAACACACACACATGCGGTTTTCTAATTCGATCGATTTATTGAACAGCTTGGACATATAAATAGCGTTAAGTGTGTAAAGTTCGTGATGTTCATGAAATAACTCTATGTATAATCGAACACCGTCCAAGTCGATCGAAAATTTCATCTTTCGGCAGCATAATATACATTTCTTTACTCTCGTTTTTCTTCTTTTTCCAATGATACATCCTCATTTTATTTACCCGCACGAAATTGAGAAACTATAATTATCCTCCAGGATATTCTTAATCCAGAGCTGCGGCACCGGAAATAATTTCAATCAATTCTCTAGTGATCACAGCTTGTCGAGTGCGATTGAAAGTGAGAGTGAGTTTGTCAATCATCTCGCCGGCATTCTTGCTGGCATTGTCCATCGCTGTCATACGGCTGGATTGTTCGCTGCAAGCACCTTCTTTCATCGAATAAAACAGCAATGAGGCGAGCGAGAATTCTAAATAGCTCTGTATCACCTCCTCGTCAAGCGAGTCGTACACCGATAGCTTCGGTGCGGTAACCACTGCGCTTTTATCGAACAGTGGCAGATCATCAATTGCATATGACACCACTGATTTAAATTTGTTGTATACTATACGTCCAGAACCAAAGGAATAACTGCAAAAAAATAATGCGACCATCATTATTTATATAATGTATCATTTATGAAAAAATTTAATTCTTTGTGTACAGAAATCATTTTTAATTCTATTCTCATAGTGATGCACTTTGAGCATTTTGCTTCATATATTTGCAATAAAAATATTAAAGCAAATTATTTTGTAAATTTTTTTAGATTTTTTGAACATTTTGAAAAAACGCAATCAAGTAAAAATGGCCACTCTGTACACTTTGAAGGTGTCAAAAATAACAATAATTAATATAAGAGTTAACAATGCAGAAATACATATTTCACTTCACATATCCAAAAGAAAAAATTCAAAGCTAAGTCACGAATATTTAAATAGTGATATATAAATTAGATATATGTAGATAAATATATAGTGAATAATATGAGTGACTCAAATGTCAAGTAGTTTGAAAAATAAAAGTTTGAAAAATAAAGACTTTTTGCATTTGTTTTTACCATAATTATATATATACTTATTATTTAACTATACAGATCTAATTAATCTTGAAAACAGATATCAATACAGTTATACTGGTTGATCAAATTATCACATTGTCCATATTTCAAATCTACTAACTACTAAATCGAGCTTGGGTGGACTTGTACTATTTAGCATCTGAGTCACTCATGCAGTCAGTACCGTAAACTAACTGTTTAAATAATAATTTAATAATTATAAATTATCTGTTTAAATGATTATTTATAATGTGTTTGAATTTATATATATTTATATAATTTATATAATTTATATATATTTATATATATATTTGACTGAGCTAAACGTACCCGCTGTTCATTATTTCTATGGCTACTTTGGCTGCATCATTGAAAGTCGGTGGCTTACGGCCGACTTCGGATGCGACAAAGAGTATATTGTTCGCAAACAATCGCTGGAGGATCGCCCGGGATTTTTCACCGATGCATATGATTTTTGTGTTCTCGCGTTCCTTGGGATCGGCCAACAATTTATCGCGAATGTTACGGGATACTCCAGTGTGTACTGCGCCGCATAGACCACGATCACTGGTCACAGCAATGACGAGCTTTTTTGGCTCCTCTGGTGGTGCTTGGATCTCAGCCTGCTCGTAAAATGTTTTTGTGCCAATGCCAAGAGGACGAGCCTGCTTTAAATCGCGCTCTGCACGATTGTATTTGGCCGCTGACACCATCTTCATGGATTGCGTGATCTTTTGAATATTCTTGACAGACTTCAAACGTATGGAGATAGCTTTGAGAGTGGCCATTCCTCTCTGTTGTTGGCTCCATTGCTGATCCTGTGCAGCCAACCGCAGGATTGTTGGCAGACGGTTGTTGAACATTGTTGTTGGATATTGGATTCCTATAAGTTTAAATTTTCAGAGACTAATTGACACTTTTCAAATTGTAATAAACAACTGTTACAATTCCTTTACTACAGATTGCAAAATATATTTAATATTATTTTTTGTATAGAATATTTAAATCCTATATAATATTAATTTTTAAATTAAATTTGATGGTAAAAATATATCTAATCTTATGCTACTTTCAATGTTTATAGATAATTAAATAGAATTCAATTTTTGTCATATTTTGTGTAGAAAATTATTAATTAATTACTAGAAATAAATTGAAAAATCATCATATACAGTTTTATGAGAATAATCTATGCAAATGACAAACTACACATGATACATAAAAAAAAGATTGCGAAGAAAAATTTTTGACATTTTTGACATCTGGTCATATATCTCTCTTTTTATAAAACATATCTTTTCTCAAATTCATTTGCCTAATAAAGTAATCATAATAAACAGAATTCTAAGTAATCGATTTAAACTTATAATTACAATTATATGTCAAGTCTGACAATAGATAATTTTAAACACAGTATCACTATCATTTACATAATAGCAGGGAGGGCTGATCAGGAAATGTGCATGCGAATTAATTCCTCAGCTTATTCTCACAGAATATCAGATCGAATACGTGACATAAATATTTCGGGGATAGCTTGGAGCGATACAGCAAATCGACTCACCAGCCAATTCTGAAAATAATTCCCACGAAATCACAAAAAGATCCTCGCTCTCGTATTCGGAAATCCACGAAGGAGATCCGTGCACACGTAACGCGATCTTAAGGCGGATTCGCAATTATCGAAAAAGATCCATGCGTCATCTGTCAGCAGTGAACGTCACTATCGAATAAGAAAAACTGATACATGGATACATCTATAAGATTCATATTTCATGTTTATTATCATAAAAAATAAATATAATAAATATTATTATAAATATGTATATAAATATTATTATAAATATGTATTAATAAATATTATCATAAAAAACAAAAAATATATAATTATTCTGTACATTGTATGTCATAACAAATCTTTCTAGAAATTGCTAATAAATTTTTGGAATATCTCTAATACATAATTTTTTCAAAATTTCTTTTTGTGACACAAGAAACTTTTTTAAGATAACATATATATAAATACAAAATGTAAATTTAAAATAGAGAAATAATAGAGAAAGAATATAAAATTTAAAAATAGAGAAAAGTACAAATATCGATTGAATGATTGAATGTTACAATGACATTTCTAGGAACAGAGTCAAGAATTTGCAAATAATAAACTGATATAAGTTTTTTTTATAGATGATGGAGCATTTTGTCATCTATAATTACTTCACAAAGTATATGCAATACATTTATATATAAACTATTTAGCAAAGAGCAATAACTTAATATTGATCGAGTGGTGGAGTTTCCGCCCAAAGTTTCTCCCTTTGACCATTCTTATATTGACGTTCTCGTTCCTGCATCATCACTTCGACACGCTTTATTCTTTTTATTTTCATTACACATTCGTACATATCTTCCAATAACAGTCTGCATTCTTTCTTGCCCCTGTGATAACCGTATGCTTCCAAACAATCAACATATTTCAGCTCATAATCTGCACATTCTTTGCAGAACTCAAGACTGCGTGTTTGATTAAAGAGATCTGTTACGGGCCCTTTAAACATAGGCGCGCAATATTTTGATGCATTGATATTCTCGTGATCTAACATGATGTACCTGAAAAGATTAGAACTAAGTAAAATATGCGGTATGCATAATATAACACTTGACTACTTGTATCTTGGATATTTTTATGAACAAAAAAATCAAATTTTTAAGAAATACAAAGCTTTAATCCAATATTCTTTTTTCGAATAATAATACATAATTGCAGTATTTATAATAATAATTATTTAATAAAGGATATCAAAAAGAAAACATAACAATAGTTAGATTAGATGTAATAGATACAGTATACATGTTTCATATTTGACAGAATGTTATGAGTACAGTAATCATTGTTGAACGAGAGAATCTGAGCAGTATTACTTACCAATGACTCGCAAAATTTCGATCTTTCAATTATTTATGTTTTCAATCACTTACTTATATAATTACGCCAACCATAGACTGTTCTTCTCGATATTTCAAATGCTTCAAAAATATTCAAGACGAATCTTCACTCTGGATGTATCTCCTCGTGACGTCATTTTCGCTTCGAAACATCGATGGACCAACCAGAGCGAAGAATCTCGCGCTGTCAAAGCAGGAATGCGCCTGATTTGTCAATCATGTCACCTGATTCGTAGTATTTGTAACGTCAAGTCAAACGAGTTTCTCATGAAAAAAAAAACTCTGAATAAATTTGCTCTTTTTAGCTGAATTTCTTAGTTTATCCCTTCTCCTTTTCTCCTTTTCTTCACTATAAATATACGTATATCTCTCTCAGTATATTTCGTTTGGCTAAGAATATTTTATATCGAGCAAGTGTACCGAGGTTTAATTTTCATTCCTGAGCTTTCTGCACGAAAAATGAGATAGACCTATATTTAAAAGTTGGGAAGAAAGAGAGGAGCGGCAAAAAGTGCAGCCAGCTCCAGAATAAAAAACAAGGCTCTGATTGGCTCCGACTGTCATTCCGATGTCCGATCAAGTGTCTCGCCGGTTCAGTGCGCATTGTCCTGCACAGATTTGTATACTGCTGTATAGTGTATACTACGGTGAGTGATGTGAATGATTGAAGTCGCGATCTCAATCCGGGAATAATTTGCGAGAATAACTGTGAATCTCTCGTCTCCCTCGTACGGCTCTCCTGGTCTCACCGCATCCGAAAATAATGCACAAAGTGAGCAAATTGAATTCATCGATTGATATTATCCCTCTGCAAGGATCGAGCGGTGATTTTAGATCGAGGCACATGGACAATAAGCACAGAATGGATCAGAGATGTTTCAGGGATCAAACGTTGATCGCGCGTGTACAAACGGTAACGTATCGTCATGTCCTCTTCGATTGTTGTTCTTTGACGTCTTTCACGAAATCACGACCTACGTGCCATGACACAAAATGTTCATCGATATATTCTTGTAATGTTCGAACACGATTGTTTAGAAAAATAGAAATAAAATCTAAATATAGAAATAAAAATCTAATTTTTATATCTATTTTTCACTAACTGTGTATTTAATTTTATATTTGCATTTACTACAGCTGTATATTTAATTTTATATTTGCATTTACTACAGCTGTATATTTAATTTTATATTTGCATTTACTACAATTGTATATTTAATTTTATATTTGCATTTACTACAACTGTATATTTAATTTTATATTTGCATTTTGCAGTACATGCATGAAAATGAGAATAAGATATACATCGATGTCAATGAGATGGCAGATGCATTGCAAAGGCGGTACAGAGACTATCGTAATAAAAAACGTGCTGCATTTCGTGGAATGGTACGTAAGGCTTACGATGAGCTTACAGAGATATTTTCAAAAAAGCCTCTGATACGCGAATCCTCTACATATGACGATGATGATTTTGAGGATGTTGATGTTGAGGTATCTTGATATATTGTTCGAATATCATATTTGTATAATTGTGGTATTTGTAATAAAACTCTTCAATTTTAGTCAGAAATGCAGCAGACTTCCATAAATGACATGCTAATACATATGTATAAAAAGCAGAATGGAAACTCGAGTGATAAAGAATTGATAGATATCAGTAGTGATGATGATGTATCTAAAAGTGATGATGTATCTAAAAATGATAAAGCTGGTAAAGAGGCAAAGACGCCTGATGTATGTAATGTAACTGATGAATCTTTGAATACATCTTCAATAGTTACTCCAAACACAGAATCAGCCACTCAAAAGCCAGAAACGCCTGCTTCAGCAGAAAAGCCTGAACCATCTGTTTCAAATCCAGAAATACATGCCTCAAAATCAGAAACACTTGCTTTAAAATCAGAAACACCTGTGAAATCAAATACAGTATGTATATTCATAATTGAGATTTTAGATAAATAATGGATTAAAACAAAATATATATTTATTTTATATTTGTACTTATCTCTCACTATAACATTTCAGTCTGTAACTCAAGTGAAACAGACACTAGTAGAATCTACAAGGAAACGACAAAGAGACAAAGAAAATGATAGTGGACAGTTTTTATTTGCAAAAAAGCAAAGAACTGTACCTGTCACAGAAACAAAAATTACATTTTCTAGTGTAGGAGGTAACGACAAAATTTTGAAAACTGTTTGCAAGTTACTGGCCCACATGAAACATCCTGAAATCTTCAAACAGCTTGGTATATCTCCACCAAGAGGATTCTTACTTCATGGGCCGCCTGGATGTGGAAAGACATTATTGGCATATGCAGTTGCAGGAGTAAGATAATATTTAATTTTAGAAAACATCTAACATATGTGTTATGAATAAAATTATTTACATAATGTGAATAAAACAATCAATTTATTCATATAAATGATATTCTGTAAATATTGTATGAAAAATTTATTATAGATTCTGTAGATAAAAGTATAAAAGTTTTATTTTTGTTTCTCTTTTTTTTTCGTATGTAGAAAAGTAGGTTTCTCTCATGATAATATTTTACATCCTTTATATTAGGAATTAAATATGCCTCTACTAAAAGTAGCAGGGCCAGAGCTTGTGACTGGAGTATCTGGTGAGAGTGAAGCTCGTATTAGAGACTTATTTGAGCAAGCTTTAACTCTTGCACCATGTGTTGTTTTCTTGGATGAAATAGATGCTGTTGCACCACATAGAGCTACAGCTCAAAGGGAGATGGAAAGGAGAATTGTTGCACAATTATTATCAAGTTTAGATGGTAAGATTATTGATTAATATTATCATTACACGTTTTTTGTATTCTTGATTTTTATAAAACTCAATTTTTTCCTTTTTTATTAGAATTGAATCTAAAGGAAAATGGAGATAGAGTATTAGTGATTGGTGCAACAAATCGACCTGATTCATTAGATCCTGCTTTAAGGAGAGCAGGACGTTTTGATCGTGAAGTGTGCCTTGGAATACCAGACAGAGAGGCAAGAGCTAAGATCCTGGCAGTACACACTGAAAATGTTGTACTAGCTCCTAATATTAGTTTGTCAACAATAGCTTCCCTTACTCCAGGTTTTGTAGGTGCAGATTTGGTTGCCTTAATTAGAGAAGCTGCTATGGCTGCTGTAGATAGGTAAAACTTTAAAAGTTATTTTAATCATATGCTTAATATATAAATATATAATATAAATATATAAAACTTTTATAGAGTGTTCGAAGATCTAAACAGATCAAAACAGACAGAAAAATTGCCGGAAATAATCGAAACTGATAAGCAATCTAATAAGGAAGCACAGACTTTTAAAAACTTAGAGAGTTTAGCTACTACTAATGTTGAGAGTTTAGATACTAATATTACAACAGAAGCGTCTACTACAATAGAAAATACCTCTACATACTTGAGAGATTCACCTAAAAATCCAAGCCCAGAAATTACCGAAATGGATGTAATACAAGAACAACATTCGCCGGATTTCTCAAACTTATTGGCTTGGCTACGCAATGAACCTCCACTTTCCCCAGAGTGTTTGTCATCTTTATGTATTGAGCATAGTGATTTTGAAACTGCTTTACGTGTTGTTCAACCTTCAGCGAAAAGGGAAGGATTTGCAACAGTTCCTGATGTAACGTGGGATGATGTTGGCTCATTACAAGATATACGACAAGAATTACAAATGGCGATTCTTGTAAATATCAATATAAAATTTCATGTTTATAATATTTTATACCTTTAAAGTTCTCATAAACAATTGTACAATTTATTTTAATACTGAATTTTCTGCACATATATATACATATATATTTATTTATTGCAGGCTCCTGTTAAACATACTGAACACTTTAATGCATTAGGTTTATCTGCTGCCAGTGGAGTACTATTATGTGGTCCACCTGGTTGTGGAAAAACATTACTAGCCAAAGCTATCGCCAATGAAGCTGGAATTAATTTTATTTCCGTTAAAGGTCCTGAACTTTTGAATATGGTAAGTTTATCACATATTAAAGATAACGTATGGAATCTAATAATTTTGACATTTCTAGTACGTTGGCGAAAGTGAAAAAGCAGTTCGTCAATGCTTCTTAAGAGCAAAAAATTCGATGCCGTGTGTCATATTTTTCGACGAAATAGATGCATTATGTCCTAAGAGAACAGAAGGTGATAATTCCGCAACATCACGCGTTGTAAATCAAATGCTTACGGAAATGGACGGTGTAGAGAGTCGACAAGGAGTATTTCTTATGGCTGCTAGTAATCGTCCTGACATTATAGATTCAGCTGTTCTTCGACCAGGAAGACTGGACAAAATTGTATATGTCGGTCTTCCGACAGCCTCAGATCGGGTGGATATTTTACGTGCAATAACAAAGGTATATATATATTTACATATACATTTATATATTTTTATATATGCGCATATAAAATATACAAAGAAAAATATTTTCCTATATAATTTATATTTTTTTCCTAATATATACTAATAAATATATATAAATTGTAGAATGGAACAAGACCAAAACTTGCTTCTAATGTTGATTTAAATCAAGTGGGATATAATGATAAATGCGAAGGTTACACTGGTGCAGACTTGGCAGCTTTAATAAAGGAAGCTGGCATGGAAGCATTGAAGGAAATAATAGCTGGTTATGGACAACCAGAAATTACTATGCAGCATATCTATCAAGCGTTCGATAAGGTGCAACCATCTGTTCGCGAGAAGGCGAGTATTTAATTTACATGTTATATATGTATATATTTTAGATAATAACGTGAATAACATGATATATATTATACAGGACATTAAATATTATGAAAAATTTAGTAAGTTATACTCAATTAAAAAGAATTCCGAAGTTACGCCAATGGAAACACCAATAGATGCACCAATTGTTGATGTAGTCATGGAACCAATGGAAACATGAAGTACAATTATTAAAAATTTGACATTTATTAAACAATTCTTCCATTATCAAATATTTTACATAAACTTTTACACAAAAGAGACGAAAGGTATTCCTTTTAATGAAATTTAATTTCTACATGTTGATAATTCACAAGTAGCTTTAATGTTTATTGATAATCAACAATGTTTTAAAATGATTTAAAACAATAAATTTAAATTGTTTCAATTTGTTTTAATATGCACGATTAAGACAGACATTGCATGTCCTTACTTTATAGATACATAAGTATAGAAAACATATATGTTTAATTTTTGTGTAATAAAGATACTTGATAAAATTTTCACCAATAAAAATTTATGTTCAATAATATATTCTTTTTATTATATGTGTAAATTTAATTACACAGATGATACATACATAAAAGCCAAATTTATTTATTATTTAATAAGAAGAATCAATATCATGTTATCTCTCCCTTTATTTGAATATTCTTTATTAACAATAAATCAAATCATTCATACATCCTTTACTTATTATATTTGATCCATAGCAATTAAATCTATTTCATTAAAATAGAAAATAGAAGAATTATAAAAAATGTCAATGTTATTAATATACTTTGTTGCTATATTTTGTTTATAAATAAGTCACTTTAAATAAAATTATAAACTAAAATTTACTAAACATATCCCAAAGCCATATATATGTATGAAGGAATATTTTAAATGCATAATCATAGATAGTTTATGTACAAATTATTTGTTATTAATTTTCTGCAATAATTATTGCGTTTAGAATTGTAATAAATTTACGTAATATGATTTATGCAATTTTCTATAGATTTGTTCTTTTTAACTGAATTACTGCTGCACTGGAAATACACTAGCGAGTTCACAGCAAATTGTGTCAGTGCAAGAATACAACAAGAACTAAAACGAACGGTTCAATGCACACTGCATAATGGCACATCAAAATATGAGAAATATAAATAATATATAAATAGCAGAATTATCTGATGAAGAAAGATTTATTTATAATAAAAATTTATTACAAATTTATAGAAAACTTAATTTTAAACGTATTAATTATAATTAAAAATTTATTTAAAATTATTTTTCTATATTTTTTTATTAATAACTGTTAATAATTAAATGTTTCTATTAATAACTGTTAATAATTGTTTTTATCTATATTACTCTATACATTAATATTATTTATATGATTGTTGTTTTCTTTCTTGCAACTAATGTTATTAATTAAAAATGAAACCGCTATTTGTGTTTAAATACATCACCATATTAAACTGTACTACTGCGCTACCTTAAGATTAGAGCGAGTGTACTGTTGCACTGAACAGCACTGCTAAAAACAACAATAGCATCTGTCGTCACTTCTGCTAAAAAAGAACGTTTTAGTGTACACTTCCCGAACTAGTGCAACCAGTTCAGTTAAAAAGAACAAACTTTATATCGTAATTCACATACATTTTATTCATATTTTCTTATTTGCGATTTTTTACAATCCAAGGATGTTTAAGAACGCCATCCATATTCAATCTTTTTTCAGGATCAATAACTATTAGCTGAAATATAATTTGTTAAGAATTAAACTCTAAAATATAATAATAAATATTTATCAATATTTAAGTTTACTGACTAAACTTACCTTTGAAATTAAATCTCTTGCACCTTCACTAACAAAACTTGGAAACGTGTATTGCAATTTTTTTATGTTCATATAAGTTTCATCATTAGTTGCTGCATAGAAAGGAGGTTTACCAACCAAACATTCATAACATAATACTCCAACACTCCAAAAATCAACTGTATGATTATGTGGTCTGCCAGATACCATTTCAGGTGGTAAATAATCTAAAGTGCCACATAAAGTATCGCGTCGAGAGGAAGGAGCGTGCACAGACCATCCAAAGTCGGCTACTTTTATTTCGCCATTTAATCCAAGAAGTAAATTTTCTGGTTTAATATCACGATGAATAACGCTTTTACTATGACAATATTTTAACGCATCTGCTAATTGAGCTATATAAGTTGCTGTCCTAAAAATACATATAAATTTGATTAATCTTAATTAATTTTAATTGATCATGTGAAATAGTTTTTCAATATATACCTACCTTACTTCGTCAAATCGCTTATTAGGTTGGTTATTTAGTTCCTTATAAAGCTCTCCTTTTGGAGCATATTCTAATATTAAGTAAATTCGCTTATCATCATAGAAATATCCATACATCCTCAAAATATTTGGATGCCTGTAAAAAATGCGATTCATGTCAAATATTATTTTTATTTTATAAAATTCTTATTACACATGTATGCGTGTGTGTATATATATATATATATATATATATATATATATATACATACATATATATATGTATATATAACTTTCAATATAATAAATAATTTATAAAAAATAATACCTTAAATGGGTTTGGATTTCTATCTCTCTAATTACTTGATGCGTAATATTTGCATCTGATATTTGTGATCTAAAAAGTACTTTCATAGCTATTATAAATTTTGTTCTTTTTTCTCTGGCTAAATACACATTACCAAATTTTCCCTTGCCCAAAGGTCGACCAATATCAAAATCTCCCAATACCCATCTTTTTTCTTTTTGATTTTTTGTATTTGTATCTGAATTGGGAACTTTTTGAATATCACTTTTGTTATCCTTTGTTTCTTTGCTATCATTATTAGGTTTTTCATTATTAGATTTCTTTTTTGTTATTACATGTTCATTATTAGATTTTTGTTGATCTTGACTAGACTCAATTGATTTAGGTGGTGGCATTAATTCAGATTCTTTCATATTTTTTTCTAGATCTGTAGTTTTTGTTGAGTTAGTCATACATGTTTTTTTCTTGTCATCATTTGAATTTTCCATTTTTAAAACATTATATGTTGGAGTTGGTTTGGAAATATGCAAATCCTTAAAACTGTTGCCTGTTAATACTTGTGTAGTTAACTGGTATGATTCAATTTCTTTGTCCATTTTAAGTTTTCTGTCTATTTTTCATAGTTTTCGATATTTTTTATTCCAGACCTAAAATAAAAAGACAAAAAACAAATTAATTTTTGTATTTTTGTAATAATTTATGTATAATTTAAAAACGAAAATTTATTATAATTTGTGAAATTGTGTTATAATTTGTGAAATATATATGTACTACTAGCATCAATTTTATACATATACTGATATCATCAATTTTGTCGTGAATTTAAATTTATAAACGTCAATTTAATATTTATATATACACACACGAAGTTTATATCTGTTTTTGATGATAAATATAGTAATTATGAAGGAGAAGGCCTTCTCCTTCGATTTGGCTGAAATTTCACAATTCTGCTCAAAATTCACATTTACTCTCATTTCAATTACCTAGAATATTATGCTTTTTATATAAATAATTACCTAAGAATTCGAGTTGAATAATTATCCAAGAATAAAAATATGTACGATCCTTGGAAAGTCTTTGCTTTTGACGAAATGTGTCAACGTCGGAAGGGTTTGCAACTTCTGCTCAAACGGTTTTTCGAAGTCAAGTTGAATCAAATGCTCTTCATTGATTGGCGAATACGAAACATATCATATTTAACGAAAATATAGATAGGAAACTCGAATAATTAGATTTGTTCGCACTTACTTCTCTAAAAATTTTTACATTTTAAACAAAATAAATATATATTTGAACATTAAAAAGAGAAAAAAGAGAGAGATGAATATAAAAAGTGCGAGCAAACAAATGTTATATATAAAATGCACAAAATATTCTTGATTGAAATGCTTATGAGACAAGGTATTAACAATATGGCGCAGCCAATTAGATTTATTTTTCTGTTTAGACATTATAGATTTCTATATAATTATAAGAAAATATGTAAATATATATAATAATATATACATAGAATATATATATATATATATATATATATATATATATATCATAAAAATCTATAATATTCACAAATTGAAAAATAATATATAATATGTAGAATAAAATACATAATATAAATATATAAAATAGATAATATATATTTAATACATAATATTTAATATTTATATTTTATTTTATTAATATTCTATATAAAATAGAATTTGTGGTGGATATTTTTTGTCTAAAAATTATCTATTCTCATCAGTTATTTTCTAATCTCCTTTGCGAAAAGAAAATTTGTGTATATAATTGGCACGAGCAATATATTGACTATCAAATTATGAAAATAATATAATGTAACGATCTAATAATACAGGCAAGAAATTTTTATAAAATATAAATGATTAAGTCTTCTTTCAATAAACGTTTATTGCTTATATTTTGATCAACATAACATTTTACAAGATATGATAAATATATGTAATAAGAAATCTATTTCACTTAATAATATTTAATATTTATTCAATAAAATACAATCAATTACTCTGGATTATGGGAGAGAATCATCATATGATAGTCACATATTAGTCTTATTGTATTTTATGTGTAACATATATAATACATGATTTTTCAGGAGAAAAAGGAGAATTTACTGCCACAACAAGCTGAAAAAACAAAGAAAATGTTAAAGAATATATTGTTCTTTAAAAAAATAATTCTTTGAAAAGAAACAATTCTGTAAAGTTCTTTTGCAGAATTACTTACTTCATAACAGATAATTCGGGCATTCCCGGGTCTGCACCTTTTCTGAATCCTAAAAAATAAATTTTTCTTAACTTTCAATATTTTTTTTATATACCTGTGGAGGTATATATCAAGTTTAAAAACTAACCTAAGAAGAGGACAGCAGGAATAAAGCCCCACTGAAACACAAATTTACTGACATCCAAAACGATGGCTATTCTTTGTTTCGTAGTTGGATTTAAAGTCATTTTGACAATTTTTCGTCTCCCTAGTAATTGATATTTCGTTTATTCGCGTTAAATAAATCTTGTAAAATTTGTATCTTGCAACACATGCAACTGATCAACAAAGTTGAGAACAATTGAAGAAACTGTGAGGACCTCTTGCGTAGAATCGTGAACTACAAATTCGCGCATTTTTCGTTCAAAAATTACACGAGAATTTTATCATAATTAACATTTTTAATTAACATTTTTCCCTTGTGTGCAGGGAAATGGAACAAATTTTTTTAGAGGTCAAAAAATAAAAATTTCATTATATTGACATAAGATGTGAGATGACAAGATAAATTATTGTATCGATAATATATAATTAGTAATGTAAGATATACAAATTTTACACAACTTATATTAATGTTAATGATCTATTATGATAAGTTCATCAATGCCCCAATCTTCGTAGCTATTATCAGGTAGATAGCGACGTATGATTATGGGAATTTTTCGCTGCTTCAATTCCTTCATTGCAATTTGCAGCGGATCAGTTTCCCCTTCTAATTCTACCATCACAGGAGCACACATTGCTATTTGTAGCGCTCTTGTGCCTAAAACTCTCGCCCTCTCATATCTATAAAATAAATTTAACATATTGCTAAAGTAATAATAATTTTTCACTCTATGCAAATAATATATCACAAATAATATACATACTTTGTCATGTATCTTGTTGTTATCCTTTTCGACTTTTGAACACCAGCAGTAGCTTCATTAGCATTCAACAATTCGATATTTTCACCATCATCTTCCTGGGGCTCTAATTCGATATTGTCCTCATCATCTACATCATCGAATTCATCCGCAACTCTACAAATAATAAGATTAACAGGAACAACATTAATTACATATAAATTATACTGAAGAACTATTAATACAACAATCTTTAATTTCTTGCCTTTCCCTCTTTTTAGTTTATTAAAAATAGCATATAAATAAAAAAAATTTGATTTTTCTTATATTAATGAAATATAAGATAACCTATAATAAAATGCACATTTTTGTATATATTTCGATATGTCTGAATACATATTTTTGTGCATATTTATGTCAAAGAAATTGCATTATACTTACTCATCCCCATCAAAATCATCAGCCATTATTTATACAAATATATTTTAAATTATTATTAAACACTATTATTAAAATAAGCACGTCTCTAACAAATTTTTTTTGTAACGACGAAGTACGTACTATAAACTTACATTTTTCCTGGCGCCACCTAAGTTGCATGCGTATTCGCTAATAGTTCTGCGCAGACGCAATGACATTACATTTCTGTGATTGGTTCATTGAACTTTGTGAATGCTAGAATGAGCTATCAAATCATTGAACTCTAGATATTGAACTTTATGAATACTGGAAGTCTATGTATTTCGAAAAGAATGAAAATGTGGAAAGTGAGCCAATTTATTAGAATATTTATAATTGCATTAGTCAACGTCTCTAGTTGAAACATCAAGAAATGGGGACGACACAACTTTGGCTCACATTCTGAGGCTTTTTTATTGATAAAAGTGCCTCTAAAAATGATTTGTCAATCAAAAGGCTTATAAGTCACTTTTAGAAGCACTTTTACCGATAAAAGAAGACTTAGAATATGAGCCTTTGAGAAAGAGGCAGTGCATAGTTCAAGAGTTCAATGCATTGAAATACATTCTAGAATAAGACATCCCTTTATTTAGATTTGGTAGAGAGCGTCACAAGTTGGAGAAAAGATAGCATTTGATTATTCTCGTCTCGTCTTAACACATATTATTTACTAAAAATATTTGCTTCAATTAGTTCTACTAATTATTTCAATGTGTTGGTACCACGTGGCACAATAAGTATTATTAATAGTAATTATTTACAAAATTTAATTATGATAAGCTATTATTAAATCATTTATAGATTTTTTGAATGCTATCTCGAAATATATTTTTTAAATAATGTTTTTAGAAACAATATTTTTAGAAAGGATTAAAATAAATATAATTATAATTGTGATAAGCTATTACTGAATCATTTATAGACTTATTTTTCTTGAATGCTACCTCAAAATATTTTTTTAACAATATTTTTAGAAAGGATTTTATCAAAACGAATTTTCTGTTGAAATATGACCAATTAGGACAAAGAAAATTTTAACTTCTTTTACTTAAATTTTAATTCTTAAATCTTAATTAATTTTAATTTTAATCTTTTAATCTTAATTTTAATTCTTAAATCTTAATTAATTATAATTTTAATTTTAATATTTTAATTTTAATTTTAATTCTTTAAGGCCCGGTTCCACAATTCGAGTTAATCCGAGTTTAATACGTTAAACTGGGTCCTGATTGGTCCATTTGCTACTTAAACTCGGATTAACTGGATTGTGGAACCGGGCCTAAATCTTCAATCTTTAAGGCATACGAAAAAAATCCTTTCGTTCCGATTGACCAATCAAACGCTTCAAGATTTTCGTATCGTCCAATGGAGCATAGTTTGCCGCCATTATATATTGGGTCTGTTCTTTTCAGCTGCCCTGTTGCACTAGTGTAATTAGTTAGAGTGAAAGAAAGCATGTTTGTCTCTTTCTAACTCATTGCACTAGTGCAGCAGTGCAGCTGAAAAGAACAGATCCATTAAGGTGCAATTTCATTGACGCTAAAAAGTAGCGTCAATGAAAAGGCCGCTTTACACACTGAAATAGTTGAAACTGTTTGAACTTTATTTTATTGACGCCATATTTAGAGAAAGTCTAGTGATTTTAATTTGCCGCTGGTTTCTAGCATCAATGAAATTGCACCTTTAAGCGGCCTTTTCATTGACACTACTTTTTAGCGTCAATGAAATTGCACCTTAACAGTTGGCAGCCCTACGAGATAGGCTGTGCAGCACTGCGCATATATAAAATAAATTTGAAATCGCTTCTAGCTTAACCATCTTCACGCGATCAACTTTATTTGAATTGCACGGCATCGCATCGAATTATGATGCGGCGTCGATTTGTTCGAACGTAATTCGGGACATCGCGATGCTGTATAAGCGTCGAATGAGCACGAATTGTCACGCAAATATGATAAATCACATCTACTCACCGTTCACCGGCTGTTCCACAGGCCGCTCCACTCGCTCGCCTCGGGACGTCCCATTCCGATCTTGATGCACACGATATCATCAACGCGAACGCGCGACACTTTATTCGGCACTCCCGATATTCGCTCGCATCCAATAATCATCATCAAGGGCGCAAATAACGCGACGCGACTTCGCTCCATCTTCGCGATCGCGCTATCACTGAACTGTGAAAAATAGCTGTCGCGCACTTTCACAGACATATTATGAAAGTCGCGCGATCATTCTTGAACACTTTCGACGCTCTTTCACTCGCGATATTCGTTTAAAAACGGTTAAAAGACGCGAAAAATGCGGACGTACGACGATCCGTGTAACTGCGTATGACTCCGATTCACGTATGACGCGTATGACGTAGCAGTGACGCGTATGACGTACAACACGCGCTAACATGGCGGCCGAACCAGTGCGCATTCGTTTCTGCGCACTGGTTCGGCCGCCATGTTAGCGCGTGATCGCTACGTCATACGCGTCACTGCTACGTCATACGCGTCATACGTGAATCGGAGTCATACGCAGTTACACGGATCGTCGTACGTCCGCATTTTTCGCGTCTTTTAACCGTTTTTAAACGAATATCGCGAGTGAAAGAGCGTCGAAAGTGTCCAAGGATGATCGCGCGACTTTCATAATATGTTGGTGAAAGTGCGCGACAGCTATTTTTCACAGTTCAATGATAGCGCGATCGCGAAGATGGAGCGAAGTCGCGTCGCGTTATTTGCGCCCTTGATGATGATTATCGGATGCGAGCGAATATCGGGAGTGCCGAATAAAGTGTCGCGTGTTCGCGTTGATGATATCGTGTGCATCAAGATCGGAATGGGACGTCCTGAGGCGAGCGAGTGGAGCGACCTGTGGAACAGCCGGTGAACGGTGAGTAGATGTGATTTATCATATTTGCGTGACAATTCGTGCTCATTCGACGCTTATACAGCATCGCGATGTCCCGAATTACGTTCGAACAAATCGACGCCGCATCATAATTCGATGCGATGCCGTGCAATTCAAATAAAGTCGATCGCGTGAAGATGGTTAGGCTAGAAGCGATTTCAAATTTATTTTATATACGCGCAGTGCTGCACAGCCTATCTCGTAGGGCTGCCAACTGTTAAGGTGCAATTTCATTAACGCTAAAAAGTAGCGTCAATGAAAAGGCCGCTTTAAGGTGCGGCCTCATTGACGCTAAAAAGTAGCGTCAACCATTGGTTGAACAAAGAGGTAAGTATACTTACCTCTTTGTTCAACCAATGGTTGACGCTACTTTTTAGCGTCAATGAGGCCGCACCTTTAGCCCGGGTCCACAATAGGTAATTTAAGCCCTAAGCCTTAAGAAATTGACCAATCACAGTCAAGTATGAAGAGAATATCTGACTGTGATTGGTCAATTTCTTAAGGCTTAGGGCTTAAATTACCTATTGTAGACCCGGGCTTACACACTGAAAAAGTTGAAACTGTTTGAACTTTATTTTATTGACGCCATATCTAGAGAAAGTCTAGTGATTTTAATTTGCCGCTGGTTTCTAGCGTCAATGAAATTGCACCTTTATCCGTGCAGGCGGCATTGACGTAAAGCGTCCTGTCAGAGGTTATGGTCAATACTTGTACATACAAAAGTAAAAGTCACAGGAATAAATGTTCATGTAGCCGTTAAATAGACATATACTCATTTTCCTTGAGTTATTTTTATAAGGAAGTCACGGGGTGAGTATTTACTCATTTATTGATGGCACAGTATTTATACAGTGTATTATATGCAGTGTATTATAAAATACACTTCACTGTATTAGTATTAGTTGCGTTACTATCGCATAATAGTATTTAATAATATTAAGAGAAAAAAGAAAATAAAAGATCATATTATGATCTCTCTTTTCTCCTTTCTCTTAATATTATTATATGAAAAAGAGATCATATTATTATATGAAATTATATGAAAAAAAGGTCATATTATGATTAACGCTAAATATTATTCTCTTAAAGAAAGCTACAATCTTTCAACATGTCTGGAGGTATGCTTTATGGTGGAGATGAAATAGGAGCATTAGTCTTTGATCTGGGCCATCATTCCTTAAGAGTGGGCTATGCTCAGGAAGATACTCCAAAGGCAGAAATCCCGGCTGTTGTTGGTATTGGAGAGGATGCCAATGGTACAGTCACTAAGAATGAACCTATGGATATTGATGATAAGAAGCCTGATAGTAATATTACACAAAGCGGGACCAAATATTACATTGATACCACAATTCTTCATGTTCCACGAAAAAACATGGAGGTTGCGAGTTATATGAAAGATGGTATGATTGAAGATTGGGATCATTTTGAAAAGGTAGAAAATAAGTAATACTTGGTGTAGAACTTAGGTGTTATATGCATTAAGCTTTTCATGTTGAAAATACTTAACTGTATATATTTATCTCTTTGTTCTAGGTTTTAGATTATACATATTCAAAAATAATCCAATCTGATGCTGAGTATCATCCTGTATTATTCTCTGAATCACCATGGAATATGCGCAGCAAGAGAGAGAAGTTAACCGAACTAATGTTTGAAAAATATAATGTACCAGCTTATTTTCTCGTGAAAAATGCAGTTTTGGCTGCATTTGCAAATGGCAGAGCAACTGGTATTGTTGTTGATAGCGGTGCTACGCATACATCTGCTGTGCCTGTGCAAGATGGATTTGTATTGACACAAGCTATTGTTAAATCTCCCCTTGGTGGAGATTACATAAGCATGCAATGCAGGCAATTCTTACAGGTACACAAATATATATATATATATATATATATATATATATATATATATACACATTATTTAAATGCTTTTCAAATTTCATTTATCTTATTTATCTTCACATACATATACAGGACAATGATATCGATTTATCTCCCCCTTATATGGTGGGCAGCAAAGAAGTAGTCAAAGATCATGATAAACCACGATGGGTTAAAAAGAAAGGTTTACCCGAAGTCTCTAAGTCTTGGCATAATTATATGGTGAAGAAGGTAATTCAGGATTTCCAAGCGACAGTTCTCCAGGTATCAGAAACGCCATACGATGAGAAAATTGTTTCTACAATTCCTGCAGTACAATATGAATTCCCTACTGGATATCATCAGGTATATATTTTAAGTAATTTGTTTCTTCCATGATATATAAAATGATATATAAAATCGTTTGATTAATAAGACATGAGATGATTAAAATAAAATTTTGAAGGATTTTGGAAGCGAAAGATTTCGAATACCAGAAGCGTTATTTGATCCCAGTATGGTACAGATGCGCGGAGGTATGGTTGGTAATACCATGTTGGGAGTGGGACACATCGTCACGACTAGTGTTGGTATGTGCGATGTCGATGTACGACCGGCGCTTTACGGGAGCGTTGTGGTAACTGGTGGCAATTCATTTATTCAGGTACAATTTTAATATATGCCAAGTGTATATTCTCGAGAAATACTTGAAATTCTTAAGGATTTTTATTTTATCAACTTATTTTGTCTTATTTAGAAATCAGGGAATTTTTGTGGAATTTTATTTAAGGAATATTTTTAAAAATTGCTTCTTTGATGGTTTTGTTTATATTGTAAGTAGTCAGCAATCTATTAGAGCTGCTACTAAAACTCTTATCAGTACCAGCATATATTATTCAATATATAAAGGTTTATTTTAAAAAATATATTTAATAAAAAATTTGAAATTTTTTAAGTTTAAAATTCTCAGACCAATTATTTACAAGATTTTTGAATATACACTCTAATATAGAATATTAGTAAATGATTGTTTTTCCTTTGTATATACCAATAAATTATTATACACTTATAGGGTTTCCCAGAACGCTTAAATAGAGATTTGTCCATGAGAATACCTTCTAGTATGCGTCTCAAATTGATCAGCGCCAATGGTTGTGCAGAGAGGAGATTCGGAGCTTGGATAGGTGGTTCAATATTGGCTTCAATTGGTACTTTCCAACAAATGTGGATCTCCAGTCAGGAATATGAAGAGAGCGGAAAGAGTCAAGTAGAAAGAAAATGTCCTTAAACCACAACATTTTGTTGTATGTCTTCATCGAGTCGTCTTAAAAGGTCAGATTTGTACAGAAAAATATTGCATATAGAAAGTGAATACAATTTTCGGGACACAAAAACTTACGTTCTATGATATTGGGTGTGTGTATTGTTTGATCATCTATAAAGAATTTGAGAATCATTAAACATCTTTTTACATAAAATAACTTTTTATAATGTTATAGTAATAAATATACTTGTGATGTTATCAAATTATGACATGTCTACTAGCATTCAATACATACAAGTACATATATTATAAATGATATTACACTATGTTCCGAATTATGCTATAAGTAAAGGAAATAGAGGAATCATTATTTATTATTGATGTCCTATGAAAATGCGACGAATTTTGTAAAAATTATAAGATTTTTTATATAAAACTTACCAGAGACTCTGTCTAAACTTGTTATCTGCAGTTTGATCAATTTTACCACATTTACTCGATGTCCTGTTAGTCTCACTGCCAAGTGTTATATACGTCACATTGGAATTGTGGACATTTGATCTTGCTATAGCAAATGTTATTACAAGAAAGAGAATAAAGAGCATATGTTCACCTGAAACATCTCTTCTATAGTACATACATGTATTTTGCATTGAAATAATAAATAGGTATAAAATAGAAGTACAAAGGAAAAGGAATGTGTCTCTTTTCAAATGCCTTAATTAATTATTGATCAAAGAAGCAGCATTATACTGAAATAGCATTACTGACTAAACTATGTAATTAAAAAGACTAGGAAAGGAAAGGAAAGGAAACTTAAAGTTTGTCTTTATGTGCCTGCAATAACGAAAGATGTTAATCTAACAAATTAGCTATTATTAGGTTTGAAATATTAATGAATATAGGATAGTTATAAAGCCTACATTTCATGTCCCGCACCTATATGTAGATCTTTAATACAGTCACTTACTAATTAACTTAGTACTAATTAATAATTGTTTCTGTAGAATGAACAATTAATTAAAAATTAAATTGTGGAGGGCCGATAATATATATATAATACATTTTCAAACATTAAAATATTTATAATTCGTTTATAGATCTCTTTAATATTGTTTCTATTGATATTAGCTAGCAAAGATCTCTGATATATAAAGTTATTACGAATATTAGCTTCTCTCAAAACTTTAAAATTCTGATTGTATATCCTTTTAAGAAAAATGGAAAAAGATATCAATAATTATGTATTTATTAATAGAAAAGTTTTAAAGTTTATTGGCCTTTATCCAACGAATATTGTGAGATATATCATGTGTTGTGTGTGTATGTTTGCCATTGTTATACCACAAGCAATGCAAATTTATCAAAATTGGAATGATTTGGCCATAGTATTGGAAACGAGGTATATAATGTATTCGCAATTTCTTATCATAACAGACCAAATTTTACATACATACATTATGCAATTTGATTATAGTTTTAAGAGGAAGATTAAAATCATCTTATTTAATTCATATACATTTTTATAGTTCAGTATTGCTTACTATTTTACTTGCTATATTAAAATCGTTGGTTTGGATAAGCAACAGAAGAAAAATGGATTCTTTTATACAGTACATGTTAACAAATTATTGGGAAATAATGACAGCACATGTTTCGAAAGGTGCAAATATATATGCAATGTAAATAAAATTTTTTCCAAATTGCACATAAATGCGTTTAAGGTGCAGTGTAATACACGCATTATTTATGCGTGCGTGTGCACTAGTTATTTATTACTACTTATTATTTATAGATATGTGAGAAAAGGATCTTTATATACTAAAAGATATTTATTCTTGATTTGTAATTCTTTAATATTTTTCTTTAGTCTACCTATAATTGAGATATTTGTTACTATGATTAAAAGTACCAATGATAACAATACAAGTACAAAGCATTTTCCATTCATAGCTTTATATCCAAAAAATTATTATAACTTCCCAATGTATGAGGTAAGAGTTTCATTTTTTTCAGTTTATGTGTAAGAGTTTTATTGTTTACAAAACTGTTGATAATATTCTGTTTACACAGATTATTTATCTTTCGCAAATGGTAGCAACAAGCTTATGTGGCCTTATTATTTTGGGAACTGATACTTTAATTGCAACAGCAGTATTTCACACATGTGGGCATTTTAAAATACTTCATAAAAAGATAGAAAATATTAATACTGAAATTGATCTAGTTAGTATCTATTTCACATCGCCTTTCATATCGTTGCATTATAAATGAATACATTTAGAATAGCTATTATTATGTATCAATTTCTCTTATTACAGATACAACATGTATACATTGAAGAAAATATACGAAAAATTAAATTACAAATAATAGACATTATTAAACATCATCATTTAGTCCTTTGGTAATAATTTTAAATGAGAACAAATATATTATTCTGATACATATAATCATCACAAATAAGATATCATAATATTCTAGGTTTTGTGATTATATGGAAAAAATTTTTAGCCCAATGTTGTTTCTACAAACATTAGCTAGCAGTCTCATAATCTGTTTAGTAGGTTTTCAAATTGCAACTGTAAATACTGCAATTATAAACTCTAAATCGATTAAATACGTCTCATATTTAATCATGGCACTTTTTCAATTGCTGCTTTTCTGTATTCCCGGTGATGCTCTGATATACGAGGTGTGTGGGTAACAGTGAAATAAAATTACCTTATATATTTTACAAAAATATATATAGGTTTTTTTTATCACAGAGTTCTATGATTAGTAGAACTATGTATACAATCGCTTGGTATGAATTGTCCACTTTATTTAAAACTGAGGTATGTTTACTTATGTTGCGTAGTCAAAAATCTAGTAAAATTACCGCAGGAAAATTTTATACAATGCATTTGGAGAATTTTAACGCGGTAAGAAATTACCATATTAGAAAAATGTATGAGAATTCTACATGTAAACAAAAAAATATTTTATTTCTTTTTTTGATTTATAGGTATTGAACACTGCAATCTCATACTTTATGTTGCTTCGAAGTTTTAGCTCGGATGAAACTAATGTTAAATTATAATTGTATAAAATTATGCATAGATTATTGATAAAAAATTGAAACATTTAGAAATAGTAATAATAATAATTTAAAATTGCATGTAAAAGTTCTGACAATGTATGCATGATCAGTACACAATACTGTACATTATATTATCGTACATTATTCTATTCTGTTTGTATAAAATATTGTAAGTATTCCTGTTATTCTTATTATATTCTATTCCACTTGTTATAAATATGGACCCCAGCCAAAATACATTTGGCACAAATTATCTATGCTAGTTGCTTCTAAAATCAAATGATTAGTTTGTCCTTCGACACTAAGATGCAATGCAATATTTTCTGCCTTTCTTACAGAATAACGAATCAAGCCTTTTAATCGTTGTTCAATGTTCTTTATATGTTCTACAGCCTAAAACACACAAAAATAAATGTAATGTTTTCATCCCTTATTGCACAATTTGACATAAGAGAAAAGTATTTTGTTATACTTTTTCATTTGTTTTTTCAGCCGCGTCACCAGGTTGATTCTTATGCCAACTGACAAGAGGATCATAGACGAAAGGTGTGAGTACACTCAGTAATGTGCTCGATTCTTGCCGAAGTACTCTCATGGTAATTTGGCAAGCGCGTCTGAATGGTCCTTCAATTTTAAGAGGTCCCATAGCATTTACCATATTATGTGTCAAACGAAACGGTACACGTTCAGGAAAATCGAAAAGTTCGCCCTAAGAATATATGTTATGGTGTGATACATTTAATAAAATGAGAGACACATATTTAAACGTATGTACGTAAGAATAAAAATATATAAGAAAAAATATATACTTACTCTGTTGAACAAGCAGTTGAAATCAACATGTACACAATCTCCGCATTTAGAATCAAACAATATATTCTCTCCATGTCGATCTCCAAGTCCAAGTATGTAACCCACCATGGACATAACAGCGGTTGTCCTAATATACGCTGTACGAGCCTCATACCTTTTTGCAAATATTAAATAATTAATATCTGTATGTAAAAAATTAGATAGCAAAATGTATCGTAATATATTTTATTGATATACCATCCATATGGATCAGGAAACATGATACGAAACCAATCGGCAAATACAGGAGGATGCCGCGGCAATAATTTCTCTAAAAAGATTTGTCTCTTTTTTTCCAATGGATCCTTTAAATCTAATAAAAAGATTCAGACATGAGATAAGATATTATTATTTTTTTTGAAATTGAATTTTAAATGTTAGTAATCAAATTTCGGCTTACTACATATCATCATTTTAAGTTCCCTGTTTAGACATGCAATGCCTTTTTCTCTATACAAATTCATAATAGTAGGTCGAAGACCAACCAAGTTTGGTACCCATTCTATTAAACCACATTCTTCGTTTAATGGCACCACGCTCTGTAAATTGAGAATAATTAATTGATTAATTAATAATTCATTGATTTATTGATATCGAATCCGAATCGAATATGTATCAAGGACAAATCATACATATGTTCGTATATAAAGTCTCCTTTGTCGCGATTCTCGATCATTTTGGAGATACTTATTCACAATATCATTAAATTCCATTAATCTGAAATCTTTACGTAAATCGTCTTTTGGTTTGCACATGAACAGATATTCTTTACCATCCGATCCTCTTAACGCAATTCGTCGCGGTCGTTGAAGCGATGGCATTATTACCACGTTTTCTTCTATTTTTGTGATATGCACCCATGTCCTATACATGAAAAATAACATGAAATATAATGACATGAAATATATTACAATAAAAGTAATATTTTGATAATAATTGTGATATGTACAATAGAAATGGATTATGATTTTCAACTGAAGCATTCTTAGATGGAAGATGTAGTTGTCTAAACTTTGTTGTTGGCATCATAATTGGACTGAAATCTTTAGTTGCGAGTAACTTCGGCAAATTTTTTGATAAATTAGTCACCGTGGTATTTAATATCCCCTAGTAAAATAAAAAGTATATACATTATTAATTTGTGATTTATTCTGTTATAAGTAGTGTCCCATTATGATTCTAATCTTGTCACATTATGATAAAATAATAAAACTTACATCCGGTATTGTTTTATTCGATAATTCGATCAATCTTTCCCAAAGTTTATGAAAATCTTTGATGAGCTTAGACATCGCTAATGTTTTTAATTGTGCATGATTTAAAATTTCCTGACACCGTTTCTGTCGCGCCGGATATGAAGACTAAAATAAATAAAAGATTCTATATATTTGTATCTTATAAACTAGTGTGTTTTGTCTAATGTTATTAATATTAATAAAATATACGTTGAAAACTGATGCCATCATCCATAAACAATGCTGAGGATATGCAGAAATTAATTTCACCAAAATTGTACAAAGAGTATTTTGCACTTGCAGACATGGGTGACAAATTCGTGATACAAGCTGGCTGAATGCTGTCAGCCACATAAATGTCGGTAATCTATGATGATACACTTCTGCAACATGAAAACTGATTATTATCATAAATTGATTTTTTATTACTAATCCAATAGATACCCATAATCTGAGTCATCTTTGATAGACGATCTTGACGGAGTCTAATAACATCTGCCGGGTCAGAAGTAATTGTAGTACGAGAAGCATGATCCAACCAAATAGTCAACATCTTAGGCATTGAATGATGAATATACTTGCAGCCATATTGAAGCGATTTGCCATAAAAGTTCATCATATGCACTTGTAGATCTCTATTAATGATAAGTATAATTTCAATCATAATTCTAATTTCAATCATATCGTGATAAAATTAAATTATATTGAAGTAAATTTACTGTCTGTTTCTATCTTTGTCGTCTTCAGACATTCTCTCAACGATAGTGTCGTAATATTGAGCACATGATACCCAACTTTTTTCCCATCCTCTCCATACTTCTATTGCCTCTTTGTAATTAATGATACAACCGTCTGTATCAACATTAAGAGTTTCATCATTATATTTCGCAAAAAGAAGTTTTGCCTGTAAAATATAAACATAGGTATATAGGTATATAAAATTATAAATATAAATTATAAATATTATATAATACTTTTTAACAATAATAATTGTTTTAATATTAAAAACCTTTGCATATTGTTTTCTCTCTTCATTACAATCTCCTGAAGACAATTGCTTGTAATATTGTGCTGGTTTGAAATAATTTAAGAAACTACGATTTAAAGTAATGAAAGCATTTTCTTGACAACCCTTTTGCCAATATAATTGAGCTTGTTCTATATACAATGGTTGTGGTGGACATGAATCAGTAGCTGATAAAATATGCATATATGCTTGTTGATGTAAGCCAGCCCTAATATAAAATAATTTATTTAAAAATACGTAAAAATTATAATTAAAACCAAAGAATCATGTATATATGTATACGCATAATACATACTTTCTAGCAATTTTAGCACTTTTTAACCAAATTTTGCCAATTTCTTGCTTAAGCATCGAATTCTCTGTATTGTGAATTTTTTTTTGTAACTGCACAGCTAAATCCAAAGTAGCTCTACGCATACTCAGGACAAACTCTAAACCGCGAGATGCTCTCAATAATTGTCCGCGTTTATCCCATTCTTCCAGTATTGTTGGGAGACCTTCTGCATTGTTTAGCATCATTGAAACTGCTTTGTCAAATTCATTCAATATATGTAATCTGGAAATAATATGACAAATTTGGAAACTTTTTAATATTTTTAATATGTGTATGTGAAAAAAAATATACATATAAATTATTAATTTTTAATATGTGTATGTGAAAGAAAAATATACATATAAATTATTAAGATTTACTTCATAATGTACGAATAACTCTGTTGATAAACTCCGGGTTGGGAGGCATCTTCTAATAACGATACTAAATTTTTCTTTAACGATAGCAAATCCGGTTTGATTCCTTTTATAAGATCATCTAGTAATACATGTTTTATATTTTTTTGCGAAGTCTCCTCAAATCGAGAGAAATGACCAAGCCTCCAAAAAAGTTCATGTTCGGTTATGAGAGGTTCTAGTTCAGGTCTGTTGTAAGATAATTTAGAAAACATTTGAGTTCAATAATAATTTATAATTGTACATTTAGTTTTATTGATAATATTACCTGTTACTTAATAGACCCTCAGATATGTGCTTGGCAGTAAATGGATGATCTAAATCAAGATAACATTGAATCATACCTTGC